CAAAGAGAAACTGCTGAGAATCAGTGGATACTGTGCAGCTGCTGATTTGATACAGGAGCAGTTTTCTAATGCCTCTAGGAATGACATTTGGGAGGAAAGAACCTTTTCCATGGTTTAATTTTAAGGTGGATCTGACATGGTGCTGCTCTAGCATTTATATAGGCCAGTTGGCACTTGATGAATAATATGATCAGCCACATGCTAATTGTACTTTCCATTTTATGCTAGGCCAACCTGAATCAGTTTCAGGTAAAAGAATCCTTAGTACAGAATTAAACCTATGACCACTGTGCTAACAGGCAAGTATGCTAGCCAGTGAGCAGCAGGAAAAATATTTAGTCTATAAATAAAACAATCATTTATTGATAATGCTGACTTGTTCTGCTTTAAATCTTTCTTATTGCAGCACAAAATCTGCACAACCTGCAGCAAAGAAAACCCCATCTCTCAAGCAGACAAATTCACACTTGTCTCCAGAGAGAGACTCTCCAATAAAAAGGAGAAAGAGGGTAAACAAGTCATGTATTATTGAAAGTGATGACGATGATGGCGAAGATGAATCTTCAACAGCACATAATGGTTTGAAAGATGTCAGTGATGAAATCAGTGACACACAAATTAAAGCTGATCCAGAGGAAGCTGTAAACACTCCTTCCAAGGATCACTCAGATGAGAAGGTAACAATTTTCCTGTTCTACTTGTTTTTGTTGTTGTTGTTTAACTCACTTAGTCACTCCTCTTCTACCTTGGGGTGTAAGGGTTTGCCAGAGAGGTCGCCAGACGTCTCTATCAGCAGTTTTCTTTCTGGCTTTGTTCGATTCCAGTCCTCTGTCAGTTAGGGACTGTTGTATGTTGTCTTTCCAGCAGACCCTAGGTCGCCCTGGAGGTCTGGTTCCCAGGTTCTTAGCCTCCCATGCCTGCCATGGTAGCCGATTTTCTTCCATTCTGCATACATGTCCAAACCATCTTAACTGACTGATCCACTCGGGTTTGTAAGGACTGGGTATCAAGATCCTGACATATTGTCTGATTGCGGACTTTGTCCCTTCTTGTCACTTGGACCACCTTTCTCAGATATCTTATTTCTGAGGCCTGAAGCTGGCTTCTGTGAACTGTGGTCATTGCCCCTGACTCACACCCATAGGTCACGACTAGTACATAGGTAGAGCCATTTTTGTCCTCCTGCTAATTTCTCTTTTACTAAGCAAATTTATTGCCTGGAAAGGTCTTCCAACTGCTGCTTTTTATGTAGCCAGCTTGGTCTTTATGCCTACTTTTCAGTCTATTACAACTCCAAGGTATTTGAACTGGTTGACCTGCTCCAATGCATACTGTCCCGTCATGATCTGGTGTTTCTTCTTTTCTCTTGAGATCACCATGATTTTAGTTTTGGAGATACTGACAGTCATCAATCTCTTCTCAAGTTCTTCCTTCCAGACAAGTAAGTTGGATGCAGGTGTGCCTCTGATTTAGCTTTCAGAGCCACATTGTCTGCAAATGCCAGCTCTGATAAACAGATTGGTCTCATCCTCCAGTACCCTGCTGAGTACTTCTTTGTCTTCTCCTGACAGGTCGTGATGACACCATCCATCATAAGAATGAAGAGGTAAGGTGAGAGAACACCACCTTGTCTAACACCGCTGGTGGTCTTAAATTCTTCTGACTTTTGGTCTGCGGTTCTTACATAATTTCTGCACTTTTTGTAGAAACTCTGTATTGCACTGATCAGGGGTGCTGGGATGTTTTTCCCTGCCAAGCAGTCCCAAAGCTTGCCCCTAGGTACCTTATCAAATGCCTTTTCTTGATCAAAAAAACATAGGTGCATCTTACTCTTATATTCAAGTGCTTTTTCACTCATCTGTCTCAATGTGAAGATGAGGTCTTAAGTACTTTGGTTTGCTCTGAAGCCACATTGGGCCTGATCCAGCTGTGGCTCTACCAGACTTCTAAGTCTCTGTTCGAGAATTCTAGAGTAACTTTTACCAGGAACGCTGAGGAGGGATATGCCTCTGTGGTTTCCACATTGTTTTTCCTGTTCTATCATAAATTATCTTGGCACCTTTCCATCTTACCGTATCAAAGTATCACACTGTGCTGTAGGGGGGCATGGGGATCACAATTCATGGCAGTGGCCAGTGTGACTTATGTGATTAGGTGGAGTCAAGGTCTTCTTCTATAATTAAGGCATGGGATTTCAGGACCATTGTGGTTGTTGTTGCATATTGATGTGTTTCTCCTGCAACACTCAGCTCCTAACAGGACTTGTTTGAATGTCTGAAGAAAGTTGATTTAATCTAAACAGCTTAGTTTATCCAAGTTAATATAGATCAGAATATCTTTGTTTCTTCTGTCTGACGTTTGCCACTTTTGTCTCTTCTATTTGAAGCTTTGCCTTCATTGTTTGCCTCTTTTTGGTACCTACTTTGAGATGTGCTTAGCATAATTATGATTACATTATGATGATTCTTAATTATTTTGATAACATGTTAATGATCTGAATCCTTATCTGGTGTTTTTTTCTTCAACTTATGCATTGCCTTTCTCTTTGTTCACTGGCTGTAAGCTGATGGAAAGTCCTTGTTATTCGCCCACTTGGACTGTGGCTTTATGCCAGGGCCTGAGTTCTTTATGTACATCCATTTTACTGGCCATTTAGTGTGCAGTTAGTCTTCCATGCCGCTCAGGCAGATGCACTCTGACTTTAAAGGAAGTCCCCATTTATTGACTTCTTGTTGGGAGAGGCAGTGGGTATATAGTCTTGTTTTCCACACAGTAAGACACCGGAACCCACACGGGAAAACTTTTGCATTAAAATCTCCTTACTTATTTTCCTAAAATACGTGTTTTTTATGTATTTCTTGGCCAAAAATTTAAAAAATAATTACACATTATTTCAGGAAGCAACACCTTGTAAGGAACATAATGAATCTTCAGCCAGTGATTTGTGTAAAACTCCTCGCACTCCGTCGGTTACAGCTGACTCTGAGATCTCAACTACAACAGCTGCTGAATTTAATGATAATGTAACAGTCACACCTGAAAAAACACCTAATGGGTTTTATAAGCGAAAGACAGGTAAGTAATAATATTAATGGATGTTAGAATTTAAAATAATAATGTCACATTTGAGAAGCATTCCAGAATAGATAATACTGGAAAAATGTGATACAATTTGTAAATTAGTTTTCAGAATCAAGGCTTACATATGAAATCTGAGCAAAGTCTTCTGAAGACATAAATGTAGCACTAGCAAATGTACAACAGTTGCACAACTTTGCACACCAAAATAGGGAATCACAGGAGTTGGCACAAACATTAATTGAATGGAAATGCTCTTTATCAGCCTTTGATAATGATATGCACATCACTTAGCGGTCATGTGTAGTAGGGCAAGTTAAAGCTGTTATGCTGAGTATATGACAGTACTCCATATCTCACACCATATCGCGAGTAGGCTGTGTGCTGGTTTTACTGAACCTCATGCAAAACTCCTGCCACCCATCTACATTATTCCCCTCACATAACAGCTTTTATATTGGCCTAAACTGAACTGGCAGAGAATCTTGAAGCTGGTGGCCCCAGAGATGCAGTGTGCAGAAAACCTCAGGCATTTATCAGATCACCTTCAGTGCATGGGTGAAAATGTCAGAAAACTTGAAGTCCACTGACTGAGTTTCCTACCGAATGACACATTTTAGCTCCAATATCTGTCGACCAAAAATCCTGCTAAATATAACTCAGGTTCAAATGTTCATCCATTGAATTTCTCATTAAATGCAGCCAATGTTCAGATTTTGTCGTTCAAAGATCTTGATTGATGATACAAAATGGTTGAAATGTCTGCTCACATTTTCCACTCTGGTCAGTGTGTCATGACCAATTTCAGAAGCCATGTCTGATGCATAGCGCTATTCTATGAGAGTAATCTATTATATATATATTATAAACAGACATACAGTGTATTGATCTGCATTCATAGAAAAAATAGATAGATAGAAGGACACACTAGATAACATAAAAATCGAAAGCTGTAATTACTGTGCCGGGATCAAACATGTCACCCCCATTTGGTGTGTACGGCGCTATCGAAAGGCATCCGCCAAAAAAAATTTGTCTTTATTGTTTATTGGCCATGTCTAGCATACAGCTTGAAATCAACAACCATTGAATACGGACAGAATTAATCTTAAACCATTAAAATGGTGCCATATGTTAAAAAAAAGTTTTTGTTATTAACCTAACATGGGTGGAATAACACGCACAGCAAAAATTTACAGCAGACCATGCTTTGTCTAGAATACATGAACATTGAAGAAAAATCTGATTGGTAGGTTCCGTTGTGATTGTTTGTTATATATATATTTCAAACATTTCTATAGCCTTAAGGATTTCCATCCAGTTTTTTTATGTGAATGGAGAGTAATCTAACATGCTGAGGAAGCCACTTGCCTATTTTTTGTAGGTCATTAAAGTCTTGAATCTGCAGTATGCTTTTTAGCATCCCTAAAGCCTTTTCAACGAGTGGGAAGCTCATTATATGGATGATTTGTTATGTGAGCCCAGTACCAGAATGTCATGTATCGGAAGCGTCCTGGGAACAACATCTCTGGAACACCATAAGGGCAACATCTGTGGAACACCAAAGGGGCAACATCTGTGGATTAGGGGATAATGAAGCCATCACACAAACGCATCTATGAAATGCCCCATGAAACTAACCAGGAAGACTAACCCAGAAAACAAATGCCCTCAGAAATTAGATGTGTCTGCCGCAAGGTTTAAATATTACAACTGAAAACAGGCACAATGCTAAAACAAACAATGTATAAGAATGTGCATTTCACATATAAATTATGTAATTAGAATATCAAAAAAATTTTTTCATGTTTTGTATAAGCTTTACAATAAACAGTCTTACACTATACTGATCTGATTACATCCACATCCTGGAATTCATGTTGCTTTAAATCTTTATTTCCCATTGAAAAAATAATTTACAGCCAGGAAAAGTATGGGTGGTCATAGTGGCATGAAAAGGAAATCCTCTGAACTGTCTCCTCACACTCCAGGCAGTTGTAACAAAAAGAGTAAAAATAGTGTTTCTAGCACAGCAGAGATGGACAGAAGTGAGGAGGAGGTAGTGGAAAAGAGTTCTGAACAGAAGTCTAACAAAGAAAATGATACTACTCATGAAGGGTCTGGAGAAACAGAAGACATGGATGTGGAGGTATGTCATTAATGTTCTTGTGACCACTTCATCAGCACTGAATTTCTTGTCATTTCCTGTGAAACTTCTGCTGCATCCTCAGCTTTGTGACAGTTGTATATGTTTCTTTTACAGTAAAAACTAACCAGCGGGCACCTCAGAATCAGAAGTTAAACATATGATTCACGACAGTTGCCCAGGTGATGTGATTATTTATACCGATGGCTCTGGATTGAGAGACAAAGTGCATGGGGAATCTTAGCAAAAGTGAATAGACATCGCTTAATGCAGCAAAGCCTGGCATATGATACCATAACATCTAGTTTGAGAATGGAGGTGGAGGCAGTCACTGTAGCCTTCCTTTGGCTTGAAAACCAGTTATACATACATGTTGCAATTGTAACTGACTTGCAGAGCATGTTAAGAAAGGTGGAGACAGCTATGCTCTGTGCAGAGTGGCAAGCATCACTTCAGAGGTCCCAGGTAATTAAGGTCTTTAGATATTCTCCAGGTGATGTCGATATATTGGGAAATGAACAGGCTGATAGACTGGCTGGTTCTACACCACTTAATAGTGAACTGGTGCATGACAAGATGTAAGGTTCCTCTGGGAGCGTGTGAACAGTGTGGAGTCACAGATAGATCATCATGGTCTGAGGAGATAGGTGCTGTGGGGAGTGACTAGGGCAGCTGGCCAAAGCTCAGTACTCAGGGAAAAGGCAAAACGGATATAGTCATACAATTACGGGTGCCATCAGAATTGGAACTCTGGGCTTGCTTCAGTAATATAAAAATATGGGTCTAGCACCATATGTCTGATTTGCCAATGGGTTGAGAAGGGTCCTTTACTCATTGTCATCATCACATCCCATAATTGTATTTGTTGCTGGGTCATCAGTTTTTGTTAACTGTCTGATCAGTTGCCTCCACCTTTGGCGGCCAGATGCGATGGATTTCATGGTTGCATGTCCAGTCAGTCAAGTTCTGTATCCAGGTCATTCTTGGTCTGCCTTTCCCCCTCTACTGCTGTACTATTGTTTTTTTTTAGAAGCCATTAGATCTAATTACATGTCCAAACCATTGCATTTTCTGCCTTTTCATTGTAGTTTAAAGATTTTATTGTAGTCAGTGTGCTGGATAATTATATGGTGAAACGTCATTTGTGATGTGGTCTCTGTATGGCATGTCAAGAATTTTTCTAAAAGATCACATTTTCAGTGCTTGTATCTTCTTTTTGAGCTCAGCTGTCAATGTCATGTTTCACAGCCCGGCTAGTGCACTGGGCAGTCAAAGCTTATTTTTACATAAAATATTTTTTAATCTCTATAATTTTTGCTGTTTGACAAGGACCGGTGTTGTCTGGTCAATTTTATACACGATTTCTGCTCTGGATCAGGTCACCTAAAATGGATCCTAAGTTTTTAAAATGATTAACTTGTTAAAATTTATGACCTTTAACGTACATTGGTGTAGTTATGTCAGCTGGATTATTATTCATTACTTTTGTCTTTTTTGTGTTTTTTTTTCCCCATGCTATACTTGGTTGATGTTTTATCAAGTTTGACTGGTTCTTGTTTTTTTTTTCCCAGCCAAACCATTGATGACATCTGCAAACCTTCAGTTTGTGATGATTCGTCCTTTTATACTAACTGTTCCTTGATGTTTTCCTAGGGGGTTAGTCATAATTCTTTCTAAGAAGATGTTAAACAGTGTTGGGGAGAAGAGGCAGCCTTTTTGGACTCCTACTATTGTTCAGAACCAGCTCTGTATTCTCCATTCAGTGGTCCTTTACTCAAGCTTTTTAAAACTTAATTTTATACATAACCAGGTTTATTTTTTTCATGAGAGGTACCAGTACTCATCACAGTGTCCAACAGATATGATGGTACTCACCACAAAGTGTCCAGCTAATGTAATAGAACTCACCACAAAGTGTCCAACAGATATGATGGTACTCACTACAAAGTGTCCAGTAAATGTGATAGAACTCATCACAAAGTGTCCAGTAAATGTGATAGAACTCATCACAAAGTGTCCAGTAAATGTGATAGAACTCATCATAAAGTGTCCAGTAAATGTGATAGAACTCATCACAAAGTGTCCAACAGATATGATGGTACTCACCACAAAGTGTCCCAACAGATATGATGGTACTCACTACACAGTGTCCAACAGATGTGATGGTACTCACCATAAAGTGTCCAACAGATATGATGGTACTCACCATAAAGTGTCCCAACAGATATGGTACTCACTACAGTGTCCAACAGATGTGTTGGTACTCACTACAGTGTCCAACAGATGTGATGGTATTCACCACAGTGTCCCAACAGATATGGTACTCACCACACAGTGTCCAACAGATGTGTTGGTACTCACTACAGTGTCCAACAGATGTGATGGTACTCACTACACAGTGTCCAACAGATATGGTACTCACCACACAGTGTCCAACAGATATGGTACTCACCACACAGTGTCCAACAGATGTGATGGTACTCACCATAAAGTGTCCAACAGATATGATGGTACTTACTACAGTGTCCAACAGATATGGTACTCACCACACAGTGTCCAACAGATGTGTTGGTACTCACTACAGTGTCCAACAGATATAATGGTATTCACCACAAAGTGTCCAACAGATGTGATGGTACTCACCATAAAGTGTCCAACAGATATGATGGTACTCACCATAAAGTGTCCCAACAGATATGGTACTCACCACACAGTGTCCAACAGATGTGATGGTACTCACCATAAAGTGTCCAACAGATATGATGGTACTCACCATAAAGTGTCCCAACAGATATGGTACTCACCACACAGTGTCCAACAGATGTGTTGGTACTCACTACAGTGTCCAACAGATATGATGGTATTCACCACAAAGTGTCCAACAGATGTGATGGTACTCACTACAGTGTCCAACAGATGTGATGGTACTCACTACAGTGTCCAACAGATGTGATGGTACTCACTACAGTGTCCAACAGATGTGATGGTACTCACTATAGTGTCCAACAGACGTGATGGTACTCACCACAGTGTCCAACAGACGTGATGGTACTCACTACAGTGTCCAACAGACGTGATGGTACTCACTACAGTGTCCAACAGATATGATGGTACTCACCACACAGTGTCCAACAGATGTGATGGTACACACCATAAAGTATCCTACAGATATGATGGTACTCACCATAAAGTGTCCCAACAGATATGATGGTACTCACCACAAAGTGTCCAACAGATGTGATGGTACTCACCACAAAGTGTCCAACAGATGTGATGGTACTCACCACAAAGTGTCCAACAGATATGATGGTACTCACCACAAAGTGTCCAACAGATGTGATGGTACTCACCACAAAGTGTCCAACAGATATGATGGTACTCACCACAAAGTGTCCAACAGATATGATGGTACTCACTACAGTGTCCAACAGATGTGATGGTACTCACTATAGTGTCCAACAGATATGATGGTACTCACCACAAAGTGTCCAACAGATATGATGGTACACACCATAAAGTGTCCCAACAGATATGGTACTCACCACACAGTGTCCAACAGATGTGATGGTACTCACTACAGTGTCCAACAGATGTGATGGTACTCACCACAAAGTGTCCCAACAGATATGGTACTCACCACACAGTGTCCAACAGATGTGATGGTACTCACTACAGTGTCCAACAGATGTGATGGTACTCACTACAGTGTCCAACAGATGTGATGGTACTCACTATAGTGTCCAACAGACGTGATGGTACTCACCACAAAGTTAGTTAGTTAGTTAGTTAGTTGGGTTATCCTCATTGCACTCCGGACATGTCCATAGGTGCTCAGATCCTCCCCACAGTATGAACCCCAACGTCCGATGGCTAATAGTACCAGTTCTATGTTGATTAACAAGTCTTCTGGCGTAGCTGGTGTGCGTCTCGTTTTTTGCTGTGCCGATCTTAATTCCCAAGTCTGCCATTCTGGCGAGTGATGTGGATTCACTGCCACCAAAGTCGTCTATCCTTCCCATTTCTCTGAAGGCATTGATAATATCAGCATGATCCATAGGCCGACTGTCGGTAGTGATAGCGGATCCAGCCAACCTTTCAGCTCTTTCATTTCCATCGACACCTGCGTATCCCGGAACAAAAATAAAGGTGACTCCACGGACAGTGGACTTCTGTAATGATTCAAGCCATTGTCTTCGCACTGAACCTGCCTGAACCCTCCGGATCATACTCATTGAATCACTGAGTATACACACGCGGGTGTATTTTTGTGTTTCAAGCCAGGCAAGCGCTTGTGTCACTGCCATCACCTCCATCGTCATGCTGCTGGTTGTCATGGAGAAGGCGCCGTTGGCTTCTTTGACTGTTCTGCCTGCTGAGCGTGCTGTAAATGCCCATGCGCTTCTTCTTTGGCGTATAACGGATCCGTCTGTATAGATTATTGCATCTGCTTCGTCTGAATTTTCACCGATGAGAGCGTTGACCTCTGCATTAACAGCAACAGGATTCTCTTCTCTACATCGCCTGTTGAGTGTGACAATACAGGAAAATGTACAAATAAACGCCTGAGGCACAGGTATCCATTCTGCACCAGGTATGATGTCGGTTAGGCTGCATATTTGCCTAATAACATCTTCTGCCCGACCTAGCCACGATTTCCCCCTCTTCAGTCTGTCGCCCTTTTCACTAAAAAGCGCTTGATGCCGTGGGGTGTTTCTTATCAGCACATATTTTGAGATATGCCCGAGCCCTCCACATCCTGATCCTTTGGTTCATTGTTGGAAAGTCAAGTAGATACCTCATTGCTCCACAGGATGTGTCTCTAGTACATCCCAAAATAATGCGCATGGCTTCATTTTGCACCTTTTCGAGTCGTTCAATCTGGGTAGCACTGACAGTGAGGATGGCCAGAGCGTATTCAATGGGGGAAAGGACCAGACCGTAGAATAGAAGTATTAGTAGTCTTTGCTCAATGTTGGAAGCAGCCATAATCCTCATTGCAGATAGACCTATGCGTGCTTTTGTTATCACATGGTCAACGTGTTCCCTGAATGACAAGCTGCGATCGAACCTCACCCCGAGAAACGTCATAACGTTGGTTCTGATCAATACATTATCACGCATTTTCACTTCTGGTAAGTCCGACTTGACAATGTGATTGTTCAAAGAGAACCATGACACTGATGCCTTCGAAGGATTGACATAGGCATTGGAACCATCACACCAGGCGGCAATTCGATCGAGTTCTTTGTGCATAGTGCTGGCGATCTCCTGTCTATCACGCCCTCGTCGATAAATCAAAATGTCATCAGCAAATGACAAAGTCCTCCCCTTTCCATTCAACTGCTGCTCAGTGATCATCACCGTATAAACGTTGAATAAGATTGGTGATAGCGGTGATCCCTGTGGCAAGCCTGACATACATATCGTTTGCGGTTCTGAGGACCAGCTACCACATCTTAGTACAATCTTTCTCTGGAACAGGACCGCAGCAATCCAGCGGATCAGAATAGGATTAACTTCTAGTTTAAGCAGTAATTGCATTAAATAATCGTATGGTACTTTATTGTAGGCATCTTCTAAGTCCAACACTGCCGCACATGTCTCTTCTTAATCTGAAATCCCTCGTACACATCGTAGGCGAAAAACTGCAGCATTGAACCATGTCTCTTTATTTAACCTGTACCCTCCAAGTGTTGGTGGGAACTTATCATGTAGTTCCAAGTAGGTGGTCAATCTTTGTGCGACAATTTTTTCCAAAAGTTTGCCAACAGTATTCTGCATCGAGATGATTCTGTAGCCGCAGATCTTCGAGTGGTCTTTATTAGGCTTTGGTAGTGGGAACAAATAACTATGGAGCCATTCCTCTTGTATCTGGCCACTCTGGATGCTGATATTGAATTCCTTTGCCACGCTTTTCAAATCAGCATTCGACATCATCAGCATGTCGTTGTATCGGATGCCGTCAGGGCCTGAAGCAGTGCTGCGCGATTTCTTGAGGCAAGTTCTTAAGGTATCTGCAGTGATTGTGAGATCAGTGCCTAGCACAGTGTTCTCGCACAGCATCGACAGTTTCATCTTAACCCCTATTCTTGTAGTTTCGTCTTTTTGGTCAGTTTGCTCCAAGTAGCGCGCCAGAAGGGTTTTTCCTTTATCAGCATCAGTTCTCTGCCATATCAGGTCTGTACCCTGAAAATCAGGGATACCCCTTGGTCGTGCGGCGCCGTGCATGCTCCGTTGAAGGCGCCAGAATGTCACAAGAGATCCCTCGGAGCAAACGCTCTTGCAGAATTCGTTCCATTTCGCTGTCTTAGCTTCCTTCGCAATTAACTTGAAAGCCACTGTCTGCTTGTTGACCTTATCTTTCAGACTGATCAGGCGTTCAGAAAGTGACGGATCAATTTTCCTTGCCTTTTGCCAAGCCTTGACAGCTTTCCTTTTTTCTAGCCACGCCATGTTGACTACTTCATTCCACCATGGTGGCTGGGCCCATCTCTCCCGCCGTCTGCGATCTGCTCTTGTTTTACGTCGTCGGATTTTGCTAATGGCATCTTGCCCTGTACGGTCATATATAAAAACAGGCACATTTATTACATGACCTTTGTTGTTGCTCTTCTCTACCAGGACGACGCAAGGAAAGTGATCACTGTCGTGGTATCCCAGTGTGCTCCACCTGCATCCTGATGCAATGGAGGGAGACACTAGGGCCAGGTCAATTACGCTGTCAGAATCCCCTTGTCGTGTTGCCATTCGGGTAACCTTTCCGTCGTTCAAGCATACTAGATTGGCAGACACTAGGGCATCCTCCAGGTCTTCCCCCTGTTTATTAGTGATTACATTGCCCCACTGGTGTCCTCTGGCGTTGAAATCTCCGCAGCAAAGGACTTTCTTTTCCTCCGTCTGGAGCAAACTCTGCCATTTCGCTGTATCCACCTTTCCATTGCAGGCGTACACATTGACAATCACAAACTGGGCCGGGCCCATCACTCTGACTGCGTGTACTTGTAGGTCGTCATTATTCCACTTAGACATGACCACCACAAAGTGTCCAACAGATATGATGGTACACACCATAAAGTGTCCCAACAGATATGGTACTCACCACACAGTGTCCAACAGATGTGATGGTACTCACTACAGTGTCCAACAGATATGATGGTACTCACCACAAAGTGTCTTTTACATAGTGTTGAAAAGTCGATGCCATAAAAAAGGGTGTGTACTATTGCGTAACGTCAGAAAAAAACCTATACATGTCTGAAAAATCTAGCCTTGAGGCAGAAGGTAGTCATCATCATCATCATCATCATCAAACACTTTGCCGACTGATATGGGGCCATCATACCTCTCTACAGTCTGCGATTGCTACTGCGTGTATCAGTTCCTGTGTTGACATGACACCAAGCCAAAACAAAAGGCTGTCAAGAAATCTCTGGTGCTGTCTTCCTTTGTCTCTCTTTCCACAAGTCTTTCCAGTGGTCACAATGTATTCTAGTTTCCCTCTTCTTATAACATGATCACAAAATTATATTTCTTTCTGATGTTTGTGATAAGTTATCTCAGAGCCTTCACCTCTTTTAATGATCTGGGTTGCTCTTTTTAGCTGTCTAATGAATTCGAAGGAATCTTCTGTAAAACCGCTTCTCCTGGGCCTAAAAAAATTGTTCGGCCTGTTTATTAATCGTCCACGATTCACAGCCATATGTTAAAACTGGCTCTATAAAGCATTCAAGAATTCTTTTCCTAACCTCCAATGACATGGATTTTTTGCATAAAATGTTCTTCATTTTATAAAATGCAGTTTTGTACAGAAGGTATTAAGAGTCGTAATTACAATCTAAGTTGTTAAAATAACATAAGAATGGGATAAGACAGGTAAAGTAATGTGTACCATATGAGTAACCAATGAACATATGGTGCTTTCCTTGTACTGAAAGAGTTAATTAGTGAAATATTTATTTTATATGATGTTGCTAACATGTGTAATCTACATTTTGCATGTTAATTTTTCTAGGAAAGCAAAGGGAAGGAGAAAAGTAATACGAAATCGAAATCTAATAAAGCAACAAGAGAAAAAGAAAACAAGTCCACAGTGAAGAGTAAACGAAAACTTCTGAGTAATGATGAAACAGAGCTAATAAACAGTCATGTCAGTTCAGTGGAAGAAAAACCTGATCCTGGTATGGCTTGGTTTTTGTTGTGCAAAAATGTTGAAAAGTATTGAAATTTCTTGATTTCTTTATGTTTTAAAAACACGTTTAGTTTGCCTGAGCAAATTTAATTACAAAACAGCTACTTTTTTGTGTCTTTTATTTAAATTGTCTCTGTATCATCATTAAGCAAATTAAGTTGTACTTTTTCATCAAGCCTGTATTTCATCACATCTGATTTTGATGTTAAGGGGGGGGGGGGGGGGGGGCACTTTCTCTAACATTTATCTGTCCCAAGTCTACATGCAAGGCTTCTGTTTAGTGTCTGTTTATCTGGTTTCTCTCCCTTGACCTGCCCAGTTTGTGTGATCCCACCAGTAGCTGAGCTAGTGTTAGTATAGCTCTTGGGTTATTGGAACTGACAGTACAGTCTTCTGTCACACTTCACAGGTGGAGACACATCACAGGGGGTACTCACTGCTTTCAACAGTTTAGTGAACATCACTTCATAGAACATAAAGTAATATTCATTCTATATATGTGTCCTTGCAATTTTATGTTTATTAATACAGTTGACACCAGCATGGAATAAACATTCTAGTATAACAGATTTATCTTGTCTTGCCAACTGAGATCATTTGTGAAAATTATTTGTAAATCCAGTGTAAGTCAATGTTTTAGCATTTGAGACTCAAGTAGTTATTTAACCATAGCATGATTTTTAGTCAGAACTATCTTGTCACTGAGAAGAGTATTTTCACTGCATGTTAAAAATATCACCAGTGGTGTACTTTAAAAGTAAAAACTGGTATTTTTTGTATATGGCAGTGACATATGAGTTATTTTTCACTTTATGTCTGAGTTTGTTCCTTTTCTTTTGATTTCAGAGGTAAAGAAGAAAAGTAGTGCACCGTCTGCTGTTAGCAATTTCTTTGGTATGTCTGGACACTACTTATAGATGTAACTGTATAATCACTTTCCTGTTCAGCCTGTTTCTTTTTGGATACAGATGAAGTGAAATTACTAGATTGCAAGTCTCGTCAAAACCACATGGAATGGACAACTAAAATATATGAAGCTTATCGGCAGACAAGGTGGCATAGAAAAAAAGGCTTATAATACTACAATAATATTATGTTGCCATATACTTGGCGAGAAATACATCAAGTAACTTAAGCAACAATAATTTGATTAAAGTATCAGATAGGGGCAGTTAGTTGGGAGTTGAAACTTTTAATAGTATAGCATTCCTTTTAATATAGTTCTGTATATGTTTATGAAAGCTCTTTGACTGTTCTGTTTGTTGCGGTGTGAATTCGATCACAAATGTTAAGGTTAAAGTTAAGGTCTTAATGATGTGTATTATAAGTTATTTAAGGTCAGGTCTTGGTCAGATATGACTGAGCTACCGTATAACAGTAGCTGGCACCACCTGTTTTCTGTTACGCCAAATGTTGGGCGGTGTATACTAACCCAATATCCCAGATTATGCCAACGGCTTCGTGTGGAGGAGCGCATTGGGGGGAGGATACTAGCCTTATCCTAGAAAGAAGAAATGCAACCTGAAAACTTTGTGTTATGGCAGGGCAGACCAGGCCCTTTGTCTTTTCTGGCAGCTGGTCTAGGAGGGAAGCTCTGACAGGCGGACAGATAGAGCACTGCTCTTCTGATCCGGCAGCTTCTGCAACCTGCCTCATTCCAAACGTACTGGTTTTACCTTTCCTTTGGAGTAAACAAGGAAGGTCGAGGGAGGGATCATTATGCATGGGCAACATATGGTTTCTACAATACTGCCCAGGCTTTGTGCTATGGAGAGGAGGAACTTCATCCCTGGCCTTAATTGGTCTCAGAAACAATTGTGAAAGACTTTTCTTGACACGGGTGGGTCGTGCTAGTCATACTCGCCATCGCCATGGACTGTGAATCTCATGCCTCCTCATAGCGCAATATAACACTATCGTCTGGAAAGACGGAAAGGTGCCAGTGAAGGAGTTATTTCATACCTCACCTCAGTTGGTTGCTCCCAGAGATGCAGGGCCCAAACAAAATCTTGTGGCTCTCTTCAGCCTATCCCCAGTGCATTGGTGATAACATCTATCAAAACTCATTTGGAACATGACTGAAGCCCGTTGGCTGAATATCCAACTATATGACCAACCTTCAGTTACAGTGAATGTGAAACTAAAATTTTAGGTTAGCTACCTTTAAAGGACATGCTGTTCTCTGTATTATGTATACAGCACAAAAGTATATAACAATGTTCACATTCATTTTTTCGTCTTATGAAAGCTCCTAAAAATACCAAGAAGGAGAAGATTGATTCACCAGTAGATTCAAAGTCGCCCAAAGCGAAGAACACACCGCAGGGTTCAACAAACAAAAGGTGAGCTATAATTTGAACTCTGTGAATTTTTTATGAGCTGAAGAAGCACTGGAAAAACAAGTTACACATTTTTGTTACATCAACCACAATGGTAAAATAGTATTTACAAGCAGAGAACCCATTGGAATTTTCGAAAAGCAAACTGGAAACTATTTCAGGAAACATCTGACTGCCTTCTGGGAAGAATTGACAACAGCTGTGTGGAAACGTTTTGTGAAGGTATAACAGAAGCAGTCCTGAATGCAGCGTTGAAAGCTATCCTAAGGTGCAGCCGAAAGGCATATAAACCTTTCTCGAATAAAGAAATTCAAAATACTATATCTGAAAGTAATAAAGCAAGAATATTGCTCGAAACTGCACGTTCAACAGAAGCAAAGATCCAATACAATAAAGCATGTGCCAGAGTAAAGCTTGTAGTTAATAAGGCTAAAAGAGATAAATGGACAGAAACTTGCTTCAACTTAGACCTTAGACAGAATGGAAATAAAGCATGGACTTTAGTTAAAAACCTCTCCGGAGAAAGTAGAAGGGTGAACCCAAAACCAGTGACAGATGGGAGCAAGACAATCACTGAAGACAAAAAGAAAGCAGAACATTTTAATCATTATTTTGCCTCGGTTAACAGAGCAGGTAAGCTGTCAGAACTCGATAGAACACAGCTCTCTCAGTTGAAGAAACAAGAGAGAGCTCCAACAGCCAGCGACTCCCTTTTTGAAAATGAATTTAGCATAGATGAATTAGAGCAAGCCCTGAAGAAATTAAAACCTAGAAAATCCCCAGGCCCAGATAAGATCCACAATGAAATGCTGCTACATCTTGGCCGGTCTGGGAGAGATTTAGTTCTCAGGCTTATTAATAAAACTTGTAGGTCAAGCAAACTTCCAAAGGCATGGAGGAATGCATATATTGTCCCCATTCTTAAAACCAAAAAGCCTCCAGACGACCCCAAAAGCTACCGCCCGATATCCTTAACATCATGCTTGGGCAAAGTTGCAGAAAGAATGATAAACAGGCGCTTGTATTGGTTCCTAGAGAGTTCTGGTGTTCTATGCCATGAACAGGCAGGCTTCAGAACCAACAGCTTGTTGAAGACCAGCTGTTCAGACTGACACAAAGAATACATGATGGCTTCCAGAATAAGAAACACACAGTGGCCGTCTTTGTCGACCTCCAGCAGGCCTATGACAGAGTATGGAGAAAAGGTCTCCTGATGAAGATGATGAGCATAGGATAGGAATACATGGCAGATTGTATAACTGGGTGAAATACTTTCTGATAGAACAATCCAGACTAAGATGCACAACGCAATCTCTTCTAAAGAAGTCTTGGAGGAGGGCTTGCCACAAGGCTCATCATTGAGCTGTACACTGTTCCTAATCTTTATCAATGACCTGCCAGAACAAATCAAGGCCGAAAAAGCCTTGTACGCTGATGACCTAGCAATATGGCAGAGTCATGAAAATGGGAAAAGTGGAGCCCAAAGACTAAATGGAGACCTTAGAAGACTGCATGAGTACTGCCAAAGATGGAAACTCAAGGTTAACTGTGCAAAGACGGTCTACACAGTCTTTACCAAAAGCCATCAAGTAGCAAGGAAGAATATTAACCTGAGGTTAGACAAACACCAAGTGATGAAAGAAGAGCATCCCACATACCTTGGAGTCACACTTGACCAGCAGCTCAGCCTCAAGAACCATATTGAAAACATCAGGAATAAGGCATTGAGGCGGTTACAGTTATTAAAGAGACTTGCAGGTTCATCATGGGGATCAGACAAGGAAACTCTGAGGGGCTTATATCTAGGATATGTTCACTCTGTGATAGAGTACAACAACTCACTGCTTACAAGCTGCTCCAAAACTAACCTAGAGACTTGACAGAGTACAAAATAATGCCCTCCGATTAATCTGCGGAGCTATGCAGTCTACACCAACTGCTGCATGTGAAATCCATACAAATGTGAAACCCCTCAGGTTGTGGAGAGAAAAAGCCACTTTAGAAATTTATGAATGATGCTTTAGAAAGAATCGTAACCATCCTAATATACACCTTGTAGAAAACTGGGAATACAAACAAAGAATAAAGCACAAATCGGTTTTACACTGTGTTATAGAAATTCAGGACAGATACCACCTCCCAAAAAGATGTCAAGGAATTCAGAATGTTGCAAGAAACCTACCACCACATGCTCACTTTAAAGCTCCAGAAGTCCTAATTAAATTGGTAGGCGAGGAAACCAAACAGTCCGATCCAATCGCTCTTATGAACTCATCACTAAAGACCGTTGATTCTTACCCCCAAGAATGGATACATGTTTATACTGAATAATCTGCATTTAAAGCTACCATTAAAGCAGGTTACAGAATCTATATAGGTTATCTCGATGGATCTGTTGAAGAGATTTTTGATGCATGCAGGGAATTCTGTTCAAATTATGAAGCCGAAATAATTGCACTGGAAACAGCAGTATACCACCTAAAGACTGTAATGGATGTTTGCCCTTCAAAGGCCCAAAATATTGTCATCTTCACAGATTCAATGTCTGCCCTTCAAGCTCTGGAGGACAGTGAACGCTGCAGAACTGACATAGCCAAGATAATCCTGGATGCTGATCAGCTTATTACCTCACACAACATCAGACTAGTGATGCAGTGGATTCCAGGCCACTCCGGCACACCAGGTAATGACAGAGCTGACAGATTGGCAAAGAAAGGAGCAACACAAGAACAACCATCTACAGTGACAACTCTACAGACAACAAAAACACTTATAAGAGCTATAAACAAAGAGAATTGGTTGAACAGATGGGCCATGGGAGACACTGAAAGAGAGTTTTATAGACATATGGATGGCCCTGATCCTAATGACAGCATTAACCATATAACAAGAAAGGACCAGGCCACCATCTTCAGACTTAGAACGCAACATACTCCACTCAATGGACATCTAAACAGAATACAGCCACAACACTCCCCAGAGTGCCAGCTATGTAACTACCCCTATGAAACTGTTGAACACCATCTCTTTGAGTGCCCAAAACTCAGCGAGACAAGAAGAATGCTACTCCCTCCGAGACCAGACAAGTGGAACACCTTGTACGGAGGAAAAACGAACAGCTTGTAAAAACATGCAAATTCCACTACATGGCATTGGGCCAAAGGCCGAAAGCTCATGTGCCACTGGATCGATAACAACAACCTACTATTAGAGAAAGGAAAGAATCCATGGGGGAGGGGGGGGGGCCTTGTGTGCGGAAATCTAATGTATTGGTGGGAAAGACAGAGATATTGCATTCTAGCTGTAAGCCACAATGTACCAGCTGCCTTTTTTTGTTTTTGTTGAGCAAGTGCAGAAGAATATTGTTACTAATTTTCCAGTTGTAAAATATTAACCATCAGCTACAAGTAATTTTCTGGTAATATACTACCATGATAAAATGTCCACTGCATGTCCATTGCTAATCTCTCATAAAACACTTCTGTGACAGCCCTTCTTTAGGAGGAGGCAAGGGTGCTGACCCTGGTGCAGATTATGATCCCTCTAAAGCCAAGTACAATCCTGTGGAAGATGCATTCTGGAATCACAACAACAAGTAAGGGACTCATTTTGTATGTAATACATCATGTAGTGACATTATGTGCTTGATTAACAACCAGGTGCAGCTCACGGGTCAACACAGCCTCATGAAAATGGGCTCTAGATATTTTCCAGAATTTTAGTGGAATTCTTGTGTGAAACAAGGGACAAAGAAACTATCTACCAGCCATCAGATGTCGTGACCTAGAATGTGAGAAGGCCTAACACTTCACAATATAACTACAGTATCTGTTATACTGTTTACATTTTTTGTTTGTTTATACAGCCATAAGTAATAAGCCCATTGAGATGCTTTTTTGATATGCCTTTTGACAAAGGCAACTAAGGAAAGTTAATCTTTGGGTTCATTACCCAGTCTGATAAAAGTGTTTGCTGCAAAAGCTTATCAACTTTGAACATATCTTAAAAATGTTTTGTTTACAAAATTAAACAAGAAAACTTAGCCAACCAGTCTTCTTAGAAGAATTAAAAGTGATACAGAGAAAACCAACTGTTAGAAAAGTACCCAATTGTGGATGATAGCAGAAGTAATAGGACAAATGAAACATAACATTTGCGTTTTGGGATGAAGAAGCAAAAAGATGGAATGCAGCAGGTGAAACAGATTGTAAAAATAGGTGAAGTGACACTCTTCTTAGGCCAACCTATAGCAGAAAATGTCCCTCACACTGATACTATCTGAAGAAACGGGAAAGAATCAAAATAGCATGGTATTAAAACAGCATTTAGAAGCACCAAAAAAACCCAAAAAGAATTAAAAATCAGTGTGGTCCAGTGTTATGCTAATGCAGATGGTAAATTAAGTTTTTCGTTTGGGTCGATACCTCCCAACCCGAAAAATGGTTGAGATTTACGTTTCTGGGAACAGCTTTTTTTCACTGAACTGCTGCAATCAAAACATTGCAAGTATGATATACCAGTAGAGGAGCAGTCTCTATTAGTTGCAATCCCACTTTAACATAGTTCAACTACAATACACATTACTCACACATACAAAAAGTATATTCTGCTTTGGAAACTCTGGAAACACAATCAGATGCAGAATATTGGAGACTAATTAAGGATGTGACATCCTTTATGGTGAATTAAAGACAGGTAGAAGATGTCAAGGCCGACCTCTACTACGGTATAAAGATGTGTACAAGTGGGACATGAATGATACAGGTATTGAGGTGGTCTCATGGAAACAAAATGCCAAGGACCATGTTGTGTGAAGAGGGCATATCGGGAAGGGGATGAATATGAAGGAAGAAAAGATTGCAGAAAAGATGAGAGCTTAGCGTCTGAAAAAAAACAAACCAGATTAAACAAATGTTTACAACAGTGGTCCTGAAATCCCATGCTATCATTGTAGAAGACTTCTTGACATGGGTGGGTCTTGCTAGTCACACTCGCCATCGCCATAGGCTGTGAGTCTCATGCCTCCTCACAGCGCAATATAACACTATCATCTGGAAAGACGGAAAGATGCCAATCAGTTAAGGATTTAAAACATAATTAGCACATTAATTTTTAAAGACTACTTGCTACCTTGCATGACATTGCCAGATGTGATTATTGACTACTTTTTTTCAAGATATAAGCAGAAATGGGAGAGACGGAAAAGGAATACTGAATATTTTAGAGCATAGTAGATGTTTTGTTTTGGTTTTGTTTTACAGAGTTCCATATTTAGCATTGGCCAGAACTTTGGAGATGATTGAGAATACTTCATCCAGGTATCTTATCTGTCTGTACTAAAGATGGTCATGTTGTTGTGAATGGCTGTTTTACATTTAAGTTTTTAAGAAGTTGATGGGGGGAGGAACTCTCTAGAGATAGGGCGTCCAACTCTATTATACTGTATTTTGTGGGATTGCAGATCTGTAAATTTTTTTTACTACGTGCAAAATTAGAGTATCTTATAAATATCCCTTTTTTCTTGAAGTAGTGGACAGGATATCATTCCTAAAATATAAATTTTAGGTTGTGTGCATATTCTGTACACATTGAAGATTCCTCTGAAGTTATAAGTAGTAGGCAGTAATTGGAAGCTTCTCTTGTCAAATTAAAAGTAAAAAGTAAAGAACCCAATGGCACATCAGGCATATGGTGCTGGTGCCATATTTTAAAAGATTATTGGGTGACACCATGCTGGTTGCCTTTACTTCCCAGCACATTTTGACTTAATACAGAATCCTATGCTTGGGTAGGCAGGCAAAGGTCTGTTGACTGCTGTTGTTACCCTCTTAGTTGAATAAAAAAATTAGATTTTTATATGATGGCATTGTTGAGGCTTGATATATGGTTGGAGTGATTTGTTCAACAACTTTGAACCAGTCTTTCTGTGTTGTGAAAAACAGAAGTGAAAATAAAATTATTGATGTTTTGCATATTTCCGAAGCCTGTCACATAGTTGGGAGTCCTTTCAAGTGCTGAACATATTTTAAATATAGTTCTCTTGTTCTGAATTCTTGTCTTCTGTATGTATGTATACAAATAGATATGTATTTGTTCTGTTAAAATCATGCAGTAATTTTGTAATTAAGTTAGAAAAAACCTATTGACTATACTTGAGGCCTATTAGACATAAAAGTGCTAGCCCCTATCTTTATAGACCAAATGGTATACTATAGATGTTGTCAGTGATTATACTGGTTGAGCTTACGTCCCAAAACATTCCCTGGCACAAGTTTTTAGGCTTTGTAGGTCTAGAAACCCATGTCAGTTTTCAAGATCTGCTTTAATTAGGATTTAAATCTATGACTGCTGGACCTGCCAGCAAGCTTGCTAACCACTGTGCTATGGCAGCTGATAGCTACCTTTAAAATAAGGAGATCGCCTCAGATTGAAAAGTTCCATATCTAGGTGAAAAAAACTTACAAAATGTACATTATCGTACACCGTCTAGGACAGGGCCATCATCTTAGTTTACACAGGAATGAAAATGTTGCAAATGGGGATCACTGAAGGGGCCAGAAGCCTGAGCCTTAGTACAAAAATATCACTGCCGGATCACTTTCCAGGCCTCTGCAGGCCGGATTCGGCCCCTGGGCCACGTTGAATAGCCATGTTCCAGGATATTTGAATTAATAGTGCACTTTGTGCGTGTTACAAATTCTTTGGAAGTTGGAATTAGTGGAGTTGGCTGAATAGACCAGTGTCCAGGCTACATGTAATAACCTAAGATGATTTTCTTGTCCTTGTTGTGGTATACTTAAGAACTACCATGGTTGTTAAATTACACTGAGCATATATACGCATTTCTCAAGTTTGGATTAGAAATAAATTGTATTGCTAGAAACTTGTACATTTTACTAAGGGGAATTAAGACCTTCATTTTGTAATTACTTTTTTTAATGTGTTAAAGTTAGTTGCGTATCCTTTACAGGACATTGCAGAACCAACCCCAGCATGTTTTGGCTGTTGTGGTTTTTCTAGGAAAATTTAAGTCCAGGCAAAAGGAGTTTGCCAATGCTTTCTGGACGGTCGGCTTCTTGATACCACTGTTGAAACCAACACAAGGCGGAAGGCCCGCAGCTGGGTTCCATCCTGGCACCCCAGCATTACAAAGCTCGCTCGAATGCTAAGCCACAGACGCCGACTTGTGTAAATTTAGCATTTTTCAGTATTACATTACTATGTTAAAAAAAAAAAGTAACATTTGAGTGAAAGTGGTGGCCAAAGGGTGTTTTCAGATCCTGATAAATTTATTTTTTGAATTAAATGCTATGATCAGTTGGTGGATGGTTTAATTGATAGAAGTGAGACAAACAGCAGAGTGCTGTATGTGATTAATCTTTGGCTAGCCTAGAGACCGAGCTTCATGTCTCATCTGTGCATTGATGAAATCCTAGAATGGCAGGGAATACCTATATCTTGACCCACTTTTTATTTTTTTGTTTAAAGAGAATTGGATGCTAATGCATGCATTTGTAAAGATAAGAAGTACAAGTTGTCTTTATTCAGTCATGGCTGTGAATAATTTTACAATGCTACTTTGTATATTGATCAAGAAATAAACAATCCTATTCCCTGTGATGGTTCTGGGGCTCAAATTAAGAAAAAAAAAGGGGGGGGGGACTGATGACACAGATAAGCCAGATCTGTAACACAGATGTGCATGCATAACTCAGGTTCTGGAACTAGACTAGAAGTGGATGAACAACCAGGACATACTGCAGGACTTCATCGCTGGGGAACGCTAAGAAGAAAAAGAAGAAAAGGAAAAAATAATATGAGTATTAAATACAAAAACTTGACTAAAATCTGGTATTTCATTGATCTCCAACAGGCTGAAAATGATTGAGATTTTGTGCAACTTTTTCCGCTCTGTCATTGTTCTGTCTCCTGGAGACCTGCTGCACTGTGTGTACCTGTGCCTCAACAAGCTGGCTCCAGCCTACCAGGGGGTGGAGCTTGGGATTGGGGAGACAGTCCTCATGAAAGCTATAGCTCAAGCAACAGGTGACATATCTGTTTTGTCATGTTTATCTCTCCAGTCTTTGTAATGATTTATTCTTGATATCAGCTTGTCCGCAGTCACTCTTGTATATGTCATCATATTATAGTTGTTTGGGCTCTGTAGAGTCACAGTGTAACATGTTTATGCCTATTCAATTGTTATAATCTGATTAAGTGGAAACACACTGAATAAACTGTCCTGTACCAGTTCTTGTTTAGCTATTTTATGTTTAACTGTTCTATGCCTTTTGAGCTGTGTATCCTTCTACTTATTTCATTTTTGTCTAGTTTTATGATATCTTAGTTGTAAAAAGTATTTTAAAAATCTTCTGTGCAGTCATGTTTAGCAAATCTTGATAATATTTCATAATTACTAAACACAGTCTGTAAGCTGAATATGTGTACAGTTAGATCTCTCTGCATGTATTCTCTCCTGTTTCGATAATTTTGATAATACAATATCTCCGTCTTTACAGGCCGGAATGTGGACAAAATAAAAGAGGAGGTACAGGAGAAAGGTGACCTGGGCATCATTGCAGAGGTATTTATTAAATACACTGGTACAGTGCAGTTACTTGGTCATGTTTAGTTTTTAAAACAAATTGAAAACACACACACACACACACACACACACACATGGATGTAACTGACATAAACATGTTGACTTGTTCATAATTTTTATAAAATGTTGAAAAGATAGCATAGATGCTGTCAGAGTCGTTGTTAACCCCCCCCCCCCCCCCAACACACACACACACACACACAGTAGAAGATAGTGAATCTACCTGATGAGTTTATTATTAGCATTCTTGATCATCACTGGGCAATTAATTACATGTTAATGTGTTGATATTTCTGTAATTATGGCAATAGAACATCACTGAAATAGTGGGAATTCATACTTTTTTGACATCTTTTAGATATCCTGACTTTGAATAACTAATAAAAGAGATGAATTTTGGTATATTAAAAGTAAGCTTGAGAAATAAGTTGGCAGATTTGGTGACAAAAAGATAAATATATAGAAGACTTAGATGGCATAATGGCAACACTAATGTGGACCTGATCTGAGACGTGATGGTTTGAGATGTTGATCTGTGGTCACCTATGCTCATTAGAATAACTCCTGATGATCTGATCTCCTAGAAGAAATGTTTCCAGTCAGTTGAAACAGCCACTTGTTGCTGAGGTGTGTTTAGAAGTCAGTATGGGAAAGTGTGGCTGATATGTAGAACATAAGTATGCAGTGTGCAAACTGAAGAAGCAGTTACGCAGTGAGAATACATCAGATGAGTGCATTTTGTCTTCTTTTTGTTTTCTCTCTTTTTTTTTGGGGGGGGGGGGGGGGGGGGACTTTTTTGTTAATAATTTTATTTTTATTATAATCCAGAAATAATTTTCAGAATGTTTATAAAAAATTTTCTGTAATATCACTTTAATATGGTGATTTTCTGTTTGCAGTGCTAAATAATAAAATGTAAAAACTATCCATACATAGTGTTTGCAGTTAAATTTATGAAATTGATATAAATGTGGTGTAAATATAGGCTAGAGAGGGCAAGTCCCATTCAAAATATTTACAGTTTGGTCACTGTCAGAAAATCATCAAATGCCTTGCAGACTATCGGGGGCGATTTCCACAATTTGTGATCGGCAACTGATCTATCAGTTTGTATGTTGACACCTCTCCATGCCATGACAAAAGGGCTGTCAAGAATCTTCTTGTGCTTTCCTTTGTCTCTCTTTCTACAGATCTTTCCAGTGATCACAATATGTTCCAGTTCCCTCTTTTTATAAAATGACCAGAAAATTATGAGTCTCTTTCTAATGTTTGTGAAAAGCTGTCTCAGAGCCTTCGCCTTTATTAAAACATGTTTGTTCTTCTTAGCTGTTTATATTTATTTTTTATTTAAGGAATTCTAAGGATTCTTCTGTAAAACCACTTCTCTGATGAGGCCTCTTGAAATTGTTCGGCTAATTTATTAATTATCCAGGATTCACCCTTAATGACATGGATTTGTTGATAACATATTTTTTTCATTTGATAAATTGCAGTTTTGGCCTGTCCTATTTTTACCTAATCATCATCATGTGCCCTGCCAACTGGTGTAGGCGCCCATGCCTCTCCACAGATCACGATCCCTGGTTGACTGGAACAGCTCTCTTGATGATATCCCTCCATGCCATTATTTTAGCCCATCCAGCATCATCTCTTGGTCTACCTCTACCCCTTTTCCACTGATCTTTCCAGTTGTCACGATGTTCTCCAAAGTCTCTCTTCATAATTATGTTGCCAAAGAACAGTGTTTGTCTCTTTCTTTTTGTTGTAAACATTAGCCTCTTTCAAACAATCGTTGTTAGTTACTCTGGCCGCCCAATGTATCCTTAACATTTATAACTTCTATACTTTCTTATTGTGTTGTCTAATTTATGAAGAGTTTTCTACTACTGGTTTTTTATTTTAAAAAACTAAATTGTTTTTTAGAACAGCCGCAGTAACCAGAAGATGATGTTTGCTCCACCAAAACTAACAGTATCCATGGTTTTCTCAAAATTGAAGGAAATCGCATCCATGTCTGGCAATTCTGTAAGTAACAATGTAAAATAATAATATTAATGTATTTGATGTTTTTCTAGCCGTGTAAGGTAAATCTCTCATAAATATTTCTAATTCTAATTGACATCTCTATGAACAATAATATTGTAAATGTGGGGAACTCTGTTGATCATCTGACCACATGGAACAAATTCATGATACATGACACCTCACCAATAAAACAAGATAATTAATGGAACCTTCACATTTGAGTAACTCTGCCAACATGTTGTTGTCACTGTTTGGGTAATAACCAAATGTAATAAACATACACCTTCAGTTTATCAGAAATGAATAACCTAACCATTGGGCTCGGAGTCCATCTATATTAGACTTACGGCAATGTTACTGGTACATATACCAAAAAAAAAAAAGTTGATCTTTTTGGGCTTCCTTGTAAAACAAAATCCCCTGATAAATGCTTGATCTTCTCCCAGTCATGTGAATACCAGCAGCAGTACCAAGTGCTCTAATCAAAGTTTTTTTGGGTATGTTCTGAGGAAGTTTCTTGTAAATGTGTGTTTTTTTCTCTACAGGTGATGGCTAAGAAAATTGAAAAGATCAAGGGGATGTTTGTAGCCTGCCGACATTCAGAGGCTCGCTACCTGGTCAGGTCACTGGGAGGTAAACTGCGCATCGGTTTAGCAGAACAGTCAGTGCTTACTGCCCTTGGTCATGCAGTGTTCCTTACTTCTCCTGGACAAGGTAAGTTTGCTCACTGTCTTCTCTGTCTCACAAGTCGAGAAATATTAACTAAAAGCAAAAAGTGAATCTGAAAAGCTTGCAGTGGTTTGAGAACATTTGATAATGCCTGCCCATAGTTATCCTACTTCTGTAAAACTTTTTCCAGCTGAAGTGATTGTCTGTTATTTATATAATATTATATATTATGTCTGTTGTCTGTTACCTAGCCATAGTGTGCAGCCGTGCATACAAAGACCGGATGTGACACAAAATGTTTAGTTGTTTACTACCTATCCACATCTACAGCCTTGTATGAAGGGACTTGGCCTAACACTTCAGCATTTAGTGGTCACTGATCACGATTTATGCTGTTTGTACATAAACATATTTTTTGTTTTTATATGAGGAAAAAGGAGGAACTGCAGTAGAGCAGCAGCTTAGCACTTTCTAACAGAAGGTCTTGGGTTTGAATCTGTACCAAGGCAGGGTTATTTAAATAATTGACATAGAGCTCTTGGGCTGGCACAGCCTGGGTACCAGGAAATGTCCTGGGAAGTTAAAGCATCAGCGTTGACAACATCTGTTATAGATCAAGAGGTCTATAATAATATTTCTATCACCATATTTGTGTTGTACCAGTGACATGGGAAAGGACTGTTAACTTACAGTTTTGATCTATTAGGCTATTGTGTTTAAGCATACACATCATCACCCTATCAGAGAGACATGTAGACAGGGTTCACAAACACTAGAACATGTTTTATACAATCACTGCTCTATGTGGAACTCTTCCATACTCATATCAGAGAGGTGGACATGGTTATTTCTTCTTGTTCTTATTTCTCCTTTGTTCACTGGCTGTAAGCGCTAGCGGAAAGTCCTGGTTGTTTGTCCATCTGGATTTTTTACTTTGTGTTAGGATCTGAGTTTTGTGTGTACATCCATATTACTGGCTTGTGTCCAGTTAGGTGTTCCTTTTTTGCTCGGGCAGATGCACTCTGATTTTGAAGGAAGCTCCTAATTAGTCAAACTCTACAACATGCTTGTTGGGCAGGCAGTAGGTCTATTATTGTTTTCCCCACAATGGAGACCCTGGAATCCACACAGAAGGACCTGATTATTTGAGAACAAGCACAGAAAAATAAGCAAGTGTAGATTAATGTTTAGCATCTTTAATAGGAGCCATGGTAGTGACAAGCTAATACACTTGCTACCATTCTTAAGATTTGTATCAAAATTCTACTGAGGCAAGGCTGTTGAAAAAAAAACAGCGCTCTCTATTGACCCAGCCTAACGTGAGTTTAATGGGAAGTAAAAGTGTTTGACCAAGCCACTCAGTGAGTAATAACTGGTGAGTACTAATTGTCTCAAAAAGTTTAGGGCTAGCACCATATACCCAGTACCTCTCAAGGCATGGAGAAGAGTCCTTTACCGGCTTCTTACTTGCTTTTGTTTATAATGCACCTGCTCGACTTAGGACCTATGCAGCTTATGGTCATCCACACTTATGGCCACAAAATGTATAAATAAAAATAGTAAATAAAGTACATTAACTACATTGGTAGGGTCAGTAAGTTCCCAAAACTAATGCAGTAGAGTACACACTTATGTATATTTCACATTGTGTACAATAATTACATGTAATAAATGTTCAAGTTTTATGTACAATTTTTTTATAACCCATTTGATGAAAATAGTGTTGATAAATATATAAATTCGACTTATGACTGGCTCTACTTATGACCTGTTAATCTTTATGGAACATGATGGTGAATCTAGAGACCCTGTATGTGTCTGATTTTAAAATCATAGAAAATGAATTCAGACAGTTGCATGGTGTTTCAGATTTCCCTCCTGCACAGCTGGATGCTGGCAAGGGCCTCAGTTCTGATGTTTTAAAAAAGAAACTGGATGAAGCAGCCATGATGATCAAAACTGCATACTGGTGGGTGATGTCAATCTATTGCTCATACAATTTAAACAAAAAATGTTTTCTGTTGTTTCTCAGACTTCTTTGTGGCTGTGAGAAATGTTCTCATTTTGAGTACTACCAGAACATATACAATTTCCTAGATTACTGTAAACTATTTTTATAATGAAATGTCACTGACAGACACACTACCACTGACATTGTGTGACAGACACACTGCCACTGACAATGTGTGACCAGACACACTCACGGCCACCGACATTGTTTGACAGATACACTGACATTGTGTGACAGATGCACTCATGGCTACTGACATTTTGTGACAGATGCACACCTGGTCACTGACACTGTGTGATAGACACACAACTACTGACACTGTATGACAGACAGACCCACTGCCACCGACATTGTGCGACAGACATACTCACAGACATTCTGTGACAAACAATCTCGGACACAAACATTGTCTGACAGACACTACCACTGACATTGTGGGACTGACAGACACTACCACTGACATTGTGGGACTGTCAGACACTACCACTGACATTGTGGGACTGACAGACACTACCACTGACATTGTGGGACTGACAGACACTACCACTGACATTGTGGGACTGTCAGACACTACCACTGATATTGTGGGACTGTTAAACACTACCACTGATATTGTGTGACAGACAATACCACTGACATTGTGTGACTGTCAGACAACCACTACTGAAATTGTGTGATTGTCAGACAATACCACTGCTAATTTCTTTGACTGTCATCATGTGACTGGCAGTCTACCAACTGATATGTGACTGACAGTTTATCTCTGATGTCAGCGACTGTCACTGAGTTTGTATGTCTGAAAGTGTGAAAGTCTACAGCCAACACTGTGCTTGACTAACAGACTACAAGCAATGTTTGCTCTGTTGTGTGTTTCAGTGAACTGCCCAGCTATGATGCTATCATTCCAGTACTTCTGGAACATGGTCTGCATGAGCTGAGGTCACACTGTAAACTGACTCCAGGTGAGTGTTTCTCTACACATTCTTCCCACATTTTCTGCTAACTGTTTGTGAGTGTGTGTGTGTCTGAGTATACATGTGTGTATCTGAGTATGTGTGTGTGTCTGAGTGTGCATATGTGTGGCTAAGTGTGCATGTATGTGTCAAAGTGTGCATGCTTTGCCCGAGTGTGCATGCGTTTGTCTGAGTCTGCATGTATGTTTCTAAGCGTGCATGTGTGTGTGAGTCTGAGTGTGCATGTATGTGTCTGAATGTGCATGTGTGTGAATGAGTGTATGTGAGAGCTTGTGTGTGTCTACGTGTGCATGTGCGTAGAAGGACCTTGGTCACCTATTGATGCATTGACCATATGATGCTGACTTATTTTTTTTAAACCTGTCTGCGCTTGATGGCTGATGTGATCAATACATTGACTGCCTTTACTTTCCAGGATTTTCCCTGATGCAAATTTTAGGCTGTTTCAGCCTGGGAGGTCATTTGGGGTGGGGGGGGGGGAAGAGAATAAACCCATTACCCTCCTATCAAGCATGTCATAAAAGTCAGCTAAGTGTTTTCAAAGTCATAGTGAGAAACCAACAGTCTGCATACAAATAAGCCAGATCTGCAAAATGTATGCACACACAACACTCAAGTTCTGGAACAAGACTAACATCCAGAAGTAGATGGAGAGCCAGAACTTTCTGCCAGAGTTTACAACTGATGTGTTCATGGTCGTCCCAGCTGCTCTGGCATACTTTCTTCTCTCCGGCAGCCAGTTAAGTTTTCCTCTCATCCCCTAATCTTTCCTTTACCTCTCATTATGATGATAACATCATATGATGATCTGCACTAATAAGCCGGGCGAAGGTATAATATTCTGCTGTGATTTCTCACAGGACACTTCAAAGTTGTAAAGAATAAGAAACAGCGATCTAGTTCTTTCCACATCATCTAGTTCTGTTAAAATCATTACAGCTAATGTACTTAGTCAAATGTCCTCACTATTACAAGCTAAACTGTCACACCATAACTACCACTACTACTCTACACACATGTCCTATGGCCTTACGGCAGTTGTCCTGACCGTCCGCTGCTACGTCTGGTCGACGACTGTCCTCAGCTGGTTCACAACCCAAGTTCACTTCCTTTACTTCATAAAGTTTACATGGCTTCTGTGGCTTTTGTGCACACCATGACAATCACATGTTTAGTGCTTTTCTGGAAGTCCCACATTCCCCCAGTCGCCCCCTCTACCCAGTCATGACACTCTCTCTTCAAAAAATGATACCAGTGGGGTATACTCTCATTGGGTCATTTCGAAATCTAGTTAACAGCACCTACTTGATACTTTATTGTTAGTTTAAGCACTGTTTTAAATATCTCTGTCATGCGTTTATTATCATTAATACTGACGAACATGTACAAGTCTCTATCCATAAATTACTGTAAGAAAACAAAGGAAAGAAAATGGTATAGTTTCCTAGGGTGTTGTTTTTCCCTTGTGTAGATCAGTGTTTACGTATCCCGAGTGGGTTCCGGGACCCTATTATAGGGAAACAAGAATAGACCCACTGCCTACCCAAAAGCATGTTGTAAGAGTCGACTAATTGGGAGCTTCCTTCGAAGTCGGAGTGCATCTGCCTAAGAGGCAAGGAACCAACAGTCTGCACACAAATGTTTCAGAACTGTCAAACGGATGCACACGCAAAACCCAGGTTTTGGAACAGGACTGCAGTCCAGAAGTGGACGAACTACCAAAACTTTCCACTAGAGTTTACAGCTGGTGAACGTGAAGAAGAAGAAGAAATGTTTACGTCGCAGGGTCAGAAGCTGCCGGTCACACCTCAGACTGGGCACGGTACATATAGGTCAGAGTGTTTACGTCGCAGGGTCAGAAGCTGCTGGTCACACCTCAGACTGGGCACGGTACATATGGGTCAGAGTGTTTACGTCGCAGGGTCAGAAGCTGCCGGTCACACCTCAGACTGGGCACGGTACATATGGGTCAGAGTGTTTACGTCGCAGGGTCAGAAGCTGCCGGTCACACCTCAGACTGGGCACGGTACATATAGGTCAAAGTGTTTACTTCGCAGGGTCAGAACTGCCGGTCACATCTCAGACTGGGCACGGTACATATAGGTCAGAGTGTTTACGTCGCAGGGTCAGAAGCTGCCGGTCACACCTCAGACTGGGCACGGTACATATAGGTCAGAGTGTTTACGTCGCAGGCAGGTCTTTTGTAATCCTGAATGTAGGTCATACACGACCTCAACATATAATCAGCTCAAATACTAACACTGTTATTGGTTAACATCAATCACCAGAATAATGGATTTCCCTCTTTTAGATATTAAAATTACCCAGTTGGCTCACATTTTCATATTGACCAAACTGTCTGGAACTGTTGTCTGTGACAACAGACAAAGAGAAAGGGGAGGCTTTTCTCCATAGGTTTATAGCTCAGACAGATCATAATGATGTAGACATCAGGGATGCAGTTAGAAAGGAGTTAGCTGGCACCTTAAAGAATATGCACTATGAAGACATGATACAAGTGGAAGATATCAAACAAATTTTGAAAAAAGCAAAAGACACTGCACCAGGGCCTGATGGTGTCAGGTATTTTCACATCAAGGCTTTGAGCGATGTAGACCTGGCAGAGATGGCCGACTGTTTTAACCAGAGTATTAAGACATCATCAGTACCGCAAGACTGGGTGCACAGCTATCTAATACCACTACCAAAACCTTTCAAAGATCATTCTAAGCTTAGTGGCTTTAGAATCATCACCTTACAAAACACATTTGGGAAGGTCTTGGAGAAGATAGTTGCTGTAAAGTTACAAGAATTTTTGGAAAGGGGGAAGCTTCTCCCGAGAGGTCTGGGAAGTTACAGACCAGGAAAGGACACTTGGGCAAATGCGGCCACTTTTGCTTTTGACGTCTATAAAGGGTTCCAGAACAGACAGGAAACTATGGCGGTAGGACTAGATCTCGAGGATGCTTATAACAGGGGGAAGAGAGGGAACAAACAGCTCGGGAGCTGATGTCCCAAGTCTCAAGATAGATGGTAGAGACGTCAACAGAGAGAGCAAACTGAAGTATCTGGGAATTACATTTGACAGGAGTCTGTCCTTTAAGGACCATGTGGAGAGTGTTGTGACAAAATGCTAAAAACGACTTAGTGCACTTAAGACTATGTCTGCAATTGACATAGAGCAGAGAATGCTTTTCACACTATATCAGCACCTGATCCTGTCAGTGGTGGATTATGGCCTGGGATTGCTTACCGTCTCAAAGAGTCAGATGGACAAACTAGAGCGCATACAGAATGCGGCTATGTGGGTCATTCTGGGTTGCACCAGAGACACCCCATTGGTGTGTATGCGATACATCCTTGGTTTGCCGACGGTTGCAGGTAGGCACAAGGTGATGCAGGCGAAGTCATATCTTAGGGTAGCTGCAGACACAGACCACCCTCTGCATGAAGCTCTGGGTGCAGTTAAGGGTCAGAGGCTGATAAGAGGGAGGTCATGGATGGCTCAGGCAGAAGACACAATCAGACAGGTTTGCATCCTTGAGAACATTAGGCGAGGAGAGGACTGGGTCAAAGTGCCACCTGAGCAGTCAAACTTGTGTTGAGTCATAATCATGCTGAGCCGGGAATGCAGAGACTGGCCAGCAGGAGCCACATAGGTGGAAATTCAGCAATTAATTCAAGATAATGCTTGCTCAGAGGATTTGATCATTTACACAGACGGTTCAGTGTCAAGAGGCAAAAGAAGTGCTTGGGGCTTTTTTTAGCAAAAGTTAATGGTCGACATTTGGTGCAGGAGAGCCTATCAAATGATACCACAACATCCAGCTTAAGAATGGAGGTGGAGGCGGTCACTGCAGCTTTCCGCTGGCTAGAGAACACGACACACACACACACATTGTAATTGTAACTGATTCAGAAAGCATGCTGAGAAAGATCAGAACAGGTATGCTTCGTGCAGAGTGGCATGCTTCGCTTCGGAGGACACGAGTGAGGAGCATTGTCTGGATTTTTTCACAGGGTAACGCCGGTGTGTTGGAAAATGAACAGGCGGACAGACTGGCTGGCTCTGCACAACTTGGTAGAATACTGCTACATGATAGGGCAGACGTGGTTAGTGCCTTGTGGGAAAGCGTGTACAATGCGGAGGAGCAGATGGATCACCACAGTCTGGTGAGATTGATTCAGTTGGGAGTGACGAGAGGTTCTGGCAGAAGCTCAAGGCTCAGAGGAAAGGCAAGACAGACGTTTAATCAGAAAGCTACTGGCACCATTAGTATCGGAACTCTTCGCTGGCTGCTGAAAATGGGGACGGAGCGCTTATGGGAATGCCCCGAGTGCTGTGATGTCGGTTCTTGAATCAAATCAAATCATTGACCAAACTATCAAGCACAAAGTTAGTCCATGGGCACACAGAGACAACACCATCCATGTACAAATACAAACTGGATACACTTATGACAAAATGAACAGTTATTTAACACCTCTTCTCTTGCAGGGAGTCTCCCCTTCTACCTCCCTTAAACACCATGTTCCAGCCTCCATTCCACGGCAGTTAAGTAATAGATTTCCTTCCCTAGATATCACTTAAGTTATTTAATCACTTTTCCCTTGAAGGAATTCTCCCCACTCCCCTCCCGTGAGGACCATGTTTCCGCCCCCTTTCCACGGCAGTTAAGTAAGAGATCCTTCTTGAAGATATAACCTAATCTCTCCATTGTCCCCTCCAGATGGCATCTGAAACAATGCAATTACTGTTTCTCACCATTATTCCCTCAACTCTAGGTGAATGACGAGGTATGATTTATGTATCTTCAAATTTAATCTGCAAAATGTAGTAAACTGAAATCAGCACAGTAATTTTCACACCGAAATATCTGATAACTTAGGTTTTCAGTTTTTCGACTTATAAAGCTCCAAATTCAAAATAAGCAAAATAAACACAGTATAACTACACTAATGAACATTTTGTCCTCTAAAAGAATTCATACCCCTGACAAACACACTGGCACTACTACACGCTGTGTGCAGTCTGCTCACAGTAAATATTCAGTTAGGTAGTTTCCCATTTCAAATATAGGTCAGTCTAAATTTATGTAAACTGGTACTGGCATATAACCTACAATGATTATAACCTAAATAGTGTAGAAAAATATTTGCCTTAAGTTTAAGTTATCCTGTGAGGTGCGCTGACTTCGTCCCTCAACTGTAATGGCACGCCCTCTGCTGGACCACTGGTAGACTGCCTGTTCTTAGTCTTTCAGATCTCGGACTGTCGACTGCTGCTGGTTGTGGTTTCAGCAACAATACTGGTGGGGTATCTGGGCATTTGTGGGTTCTGAACTTCATATTGGTCACCAGTTTTAAGCTAGCTAGCCTCACATTGATGGCAACAATGTATCTCCTGTCACAGAGGAGGAGCCACAGTTGTAAACACTTTGGCGTGAGTAGAATTCATTATCCATCAGGCAGTAATACAGAAATACTTGCGTTATTGTGTGTGTCGCTTTGCTTAAGGGTGTGACTTCAGGCGGCATCTTGATGGTGGTGAAATGGCACTGGTTTTCAGCCATAGCGTGCTTCAATTATGTTTTGATCACAGAACCTTCTAACTGACACGGTATTGTAGATCATTTTCTTGTCTATGATTATAAGTATATATGATACAACATCAGTTAGTTTCAACATAGTTTTACCAGATTGAAACGGAGAGCTTCATAATTGTCAGGGGTCGAGAGGTGGGTGGCAAGGCAGAGCACGTGTGTACAACAAGGTCGTCTGAGATGCTTTGACATACTTTCTCCTCTCTAGTGGCCAGTTAGGTTTTTCTTTCATCCCCTGATCTTTCCTTGGCCTCTCATTATGATGTCAAAGTATAATGATCTGCACAAATAAGCTGGGTGCAGATATAATATTCTACTGTGACTTCTCAAACCCTCTTGATCACAGACTCCTCAACAACAGGCTATTTCAGGACACTTTAAAGTTGTAAAGAGTAAGAAACAGCCATATAGTTCTTTCCACATCATCTAATTCTATAATAATCGTCACAGTTAATGCACTTACACAAATATCCTCACTACTACTAGTTAAACTGCCACACTATAACTACCACCATCCATGTGGTATGGCCTCACTGCAGTTGTCCCGACCGTTAGGATGTTCGGTCGATGACTGTCCTCAGCTGGTTCACAAACCGAGCTGCTCACTTTTCTTCCTTAAGGTAGTTCACATGGCTTCTGTGGCTTTTATGCACATGTCTATCTTCTATCTCCACAAAATCATTGGTTGACAAGCGGCTAAGTTTGTTCAGTTATTTTTATGGGCAGTCTGACAGCAAACATTTTCCTCAGCTTCTTTAGCAAAGCTATACTAGCTTGATGCTGCATGAAAAAAAGCAAATTACAAACTATGTGAACAAGGGTGCTGAAACTAGAGGTATTAGCTTTATAAGTTATTCTTAAAATGTAAACTAAAAAAAAATGTGTCTTGCTCAGCAAACAGACTTGAGGATTTTTGTTTCCAGGCATTCCTCTGCGACCCATGCTTGCTCATCCAACTAAAGGAGTCAGTGAGGTTTTGAAACGGTTTGAGAACATGGAGTTTACATGTGAATACAAATATGATGGCGAGAGAGCACAGGTATTTTGATGTTTGCTTATGAGTAAATTTAAGAGCTTTAAAGATTCATTAGAATAGAAAGAAATGATTAGTTGAGATTTCTACTTGTTTAGTTAATATGTGTGTTTCTGTGCAATAACCTTAACTTCTTTAGTGTTGGTTCCTGTAAAAAGCAGTTGGCATATTGTGTTGTGGTTTATAGCCAGTCTGTGGTGCTGTTTGCTCAACACTACATCAGTTCTAGCAATTGCCCTAGTTCCCTTTTAGGGCATGTCTGTTAAATGGTATTAGTTCTATTCTTCTTCTTCGCGTTCACTGGTGGAAAGTTCTGGTTGATCGTCCACTACTGAACTGCAGTCCTGCTCCAGAACCTGAGTGTTGCATGTGCATCAGTTTTACAGATCTCATTCTCTTGAATACAGACTGTTGGTTCCTTGCCTCTCCGGCAGAGGCACTCCGACTTCAAAGGAAGCTCCCCAATTAGTCGACTCTTAAGACATGCTTTTGGGGAGGCAGTGGGTCTATTCTTGTTTTCCCTTCTTAAGACATGCTTTTGGGGAGGCAGTGGGTCTATTCTTGTTTTCCCCACAATGGATCGGGACCCACACGGGGGATTAGTTCTATTAATATGCCCCCTTCCCCCCTTCTCCAAATGGGGCATACGAACCAAAACTGAGAATCAATTTATTTGACAGTTAATTAAAAATGTGAGGGCGAAAGTGAAGCTTTCAAAATGTGATTAATGGCATAATGAATCTGGGGAATATCATGGCAGGTGAAGAAAACAAAGTAGTGTTAAAACCTATGTATACAGTTGCATGAGATCAAGGTTGGCTAGTTGAAATACCCTGTTCAAGGCTGTGCAAGAGAGAAATGTGGAGGGGATGTGTGCAATAAGAAGATGGTGTTACTGATGGGTTGGCAAAATTAAAAGATGGACTAGAAGAAGCTTGTAAAAGTGAACCATGAACGTGCAAGACAAAAGGTTATAAAAATGACAAAAATTACAGCCAACTTTCTATTCAGAGGTAACACACAATTGGAAATATCTGCAGTAAATGAGATAGCACCATACTACAGGGCTGAGTACAAGGGAGGAGGAGATGAGACAGGCCAGGAAAGACTGACTAAAAGCTTAACTGGCTGGACAGGCCTCACATATGGAAATGAGTCCAGAATATCTGATTTGCGCATACAGAAACAAATGGTCAGTCAGTACTGAGTGCAATGACACACAGTGGTAAAGGACTGTTGAGAGAGATGTAATAGTCTATCTTGCAGCTACAGTATTAATGTCATTTTCTTTTCTGTTTAATTTTACTGTATTTATGGTCATTCTAAATCAATCCTATCCTGGTATATTGAGGCAAATAATGAACAGCTGAACAATCAGTGAAACAATTATTTGGAAGCGGTAGAGATGTGGTTAAGAAACTGACTTACAAAGGGAACTGATTACCCACAACAGGATGAGACAATCTACTTTCTTTGGTCATGTCATGAGAAGGAGAAAACGAGTACATCATGGTGATAGGAATGTTTGAGGAAAAACAGGCAGAACGAGACCAAGAGAAAAGAAGATGCTAGACGGTTTGGCATCAAGCCATGCAGATCTTCTGTCGGAATTGATATGTACATGGGATAGAAGATTGTTGATATACATCACTACCGACACCGAATGGCAGGGACTAAGAAGATGGTCAGTTGTCTTTTTTATTTAACTCATATATTGTTTAGTCACTCAGATGTCTGTGATATTTAGTTGAGTAATTCTAATTTATCTAACAAATGACAGATCCACATTTTAGAAGATGGTAAAGTCCACATCTATAGCCGGAACTCAGAAGACAACACCAGCAAGTATCCAGACATTATCCGCCGGATACCTAAAGCTTTGAAACCTGAAGTCAAGGCATGTATCATTGATGCAGAAGCAGTGGCTTGGGATGTAGAGAAGAAACACATACTGCCTTTTCAAGTGCTGAGTACCAGGAAACGTAAAGTGAGAAGATTACTGTTAATATCCTATATTTAGTATTCTCTCTCTCTCTCTTTTTTGTTTATAACCTTCACGAGCTGTAATCTCCAGTAGAAAGTTTTGGTTTTCACCCTCTCCTGGAATGTGGTCTTGATACAGAACTTTGAGCTTTGCATGCACTTCCATTTAACAGATCTGGCTTATATGTATGCAGACTGTTGGTTCATTGCCTCTCAGGCAGATGCGCTCCAACTTTGAAAACACACCCCTAAATAGTTTTCTCCTACAACAAGCCTGTTAAGGAGACTGTGGGTCCGTTCTTTGTTCTCTAAAATGGAGCCCGCACTGGGATATATTTACTCACAACCTGCTGTCTTCTAGCTTACACTGAGTGCATATCTTCTAGCCTTACTGTCTGAAATCTGAGTGCAAATCTTCTAGCTGGACTGTCTGGAATCTGAGTGCATATCTTCTAGCTGAACTGTCTGGAATCTGAGTGCATATCTTCTAGCTTTACTGTCTGGAATCTGAGTGCATATCTTCTAGCTTTACTGTCTGGAATCTGAGTGCATATCTTCTATCTAAACTGTCTGGAATCTGAGTGCATATCTTCTAGCTTTACTGTCTGGAATCTGAGTGCATATCTTTTAGCTTAACTGTCTGGAATCTGAGTGCATATCTTCTAGCTTTACTGTCTGGAATCTGAGTGCATATCTTTTAGCTTAACTGTCTGGAATCTGAGTGCATATCTTCTAGCTTTACTGTCTGGAATCTGAGTGCATATCTTTGAGCTGAACTGTCTGGAATCTGAGTGCATATCTTCTAGCTTTACTGTCTGGAATCTGAGTGAATATCTTCTAGCTTAACTGTCTGGAATCTGAGTGCATATCTTTGAGCTGAACTGTCTGGAATCTGAGTGCATATCTTCTAGCTTTACTGTCTGGAATCTGAGTGCATATCTTTTAGCTTAACTGTCTGGAATCTGAGTGCATATCTTCTAGCTTTACTGTCTGGAATCTGAGTGCATATCTTTTAGCTGAACTGTCTGGAATCTGAGTGCATATCAGCAAATCTAAAATCTGTTCAGCTAATCACTTTTTTTATTCACTGTCTTCTCACTTAAATGATGTGATTCTAATTCTGTGTTTGATTTCTTTGTAGAATTATGCAGTGAAGCTCAGTAATTGGAAGTTTTATGAGAGATGTTGCAAATGTAATATAGTAGCATAGTATTGCTGCAAAACATTTAATAAAATGCAAGGATTTAATGTCCAGTTAAAAAAAAAAGTTTCCTAGATAATAATTAGCCTATAATTTGTTAATGTAGGTGCCAAGTACGCATTCATTATGTTTTAAATAGTGTAATGAAGCTATTGATGTGTTCAGTATGAATAGCTTTGTTGTGTACATGAACACGTATCTCTAATTTACAACAATATAGATTTGATTTACTACAAGGTGAGCAGAACATTTCAAGGAAATATTAAATAGAATAAATCCTGACATCATTCCCAATCTAGAAGAAGAAATTATTACACCGACACTAGTTGCCTCCAGCGAGTCATTCACAATAGAGGAGATTGAAACAGCTATTAAAAAATTAAGAATAAACAAAGCTACCGGAGAGGACAACATCTCAGGGGAAATGCTCAAAGCAGCGGATGAAAACACCCTGCAACATTTGCTCCAGCTGATGGATGAAGTCTGGCAAAACGAATACCCACCACAACAATGGAAAGATGATGTAATCTTCAATTACCTAAAAAAGGTGATTTATCCGATTGTAACAACTGGAGAGGCATCACCCTGCTTTCGATACCAGGGAAACTATTTGTAGTATGCTACTAGAAAGATTATAAAAATCCATAGATGAAAGATTAAGGGAAGAACAAGCCGGTTTTAGATCCAAGCAGTCATCCATAGACCACATCTTTACTCTTAGAATAATTGTTGAAGATTCTACAGAATTCCAGTCAAAATTATTAATCAACTTTGTCGACTTTCAAAAAGCCTTCGACAGTATCCATCGTCCAACACTCTGGAAATTGCTTAACATCTATGGTTAGTTAGTTAGTTAGTTAGTTGGGTTATCCTCATTGCACTCCGGACATGTCCATAGGTGCTCAGATCCTCCCCTCAGTATGAACCCCAACGTCCGATGGCTAATAGTACCAGTTCTATGTTGATTAACACGTCTTCTGGCGTGTCTGGTGTGCGTCTCGTTTTTTGCTGTGCTGATCTTAATTCCCAAGTCTGCCATTCTGGCGAGTGATGTGGATTCACTGCCACCAAAGTCCTCTATCCTTCCCATTTCTCTGAGGGCATTGATAATATCAGCATGATCCATAGGCTGACCGTCTATGGTCATCTATGGTTTCCCCATCAAATACATCAACATCATAAAATCTTTTTATAATAAAACACGATGCTGTGTAAGAACTGATTCCGGCAATTCTGACTGGTTCCCGGTGGAAACAGGAGTGAAGCAAGGCTGTGTCCTATCGCCGATGCTTTTTGGTATAGCAATCGACTGGGTCATGCGCAAGTGCATAAATAACGCAAATTTAGGCATTACATGGGTTGACAAAATTCTGGAAGACCTAGACTTCGCCGACGACATAGCACTCCTGAGTTCAGAACACACAGACGCCCAAGAAAAAATCAATCGACTCCAGAATTTCTCAGAACAAATTGGACTCCAAATTAACACCGCAAAAACAAAAATTCTAGACCTTACCAACAGTTCAGTTGATATCACGCTGAACAACAACAGCCTTGAAAAAGTCAACAGTTTCACTTATCTAGGGAGCAAGATGTCATCTTCAGGAGATACCGCACCAGAAATGCCATTTAGAATAGCACTGGCATCTAGTGCCTTCAATAAACTGTCCAACATCTGGAAATCAAAGACAGCAAACACACAAAACTCAAGATCTTCAATTCTTGTGTGATTCCAGTACTAACCTATGGATGCGAGAGCTGGAAATCAACCAAAACTCTAGACACAAAATTATACAGTTTTGAAAATAAATGCCTTAGAAGAATACTAAATTTCAAATGGTCAGATTTCCGAACCAATACACAAATAAGGCAAGAATCCAGGCAAGCGTATGTGTCTAATTTTATACGAAAACGCCGCTGGAACTATGTCGGCCACGCCCTTAGAATGGATAAATCAAGACTTCCTTACCAAGCCCTCATTTGGACACCACAAGGGAAAAGATCTCGTGGAAGACCAAGGGAAACCCTACGTAGAACTATCATCAGGGAAGGCTCACTCATGGGCCACTCAAACATCCAAGACCTACAACAGATTGCAACGAACCGCCATGCAGGGAGAGTCATGACCTCTGCCCTCTGTGCCGCACTCGACACAAGAGGAAAGACTAACTAACTAACTAACTAACTAACAAGGTGAGTTCAGTATGCCAAAATATGAATGTAACAATGTGAGGAAAAAAAAACATATCCATTTGTAGAGAGAAAATTGATTAAAGTAAAAATAGGTAAATGTTGTTTTTAAAATGTTTTCATTACTGTATACAAAAATTTGGACTATAAACAAACACTTAAAACAAATGATAATCAAGAAATATTGATATACAGAAGATTAGGTCTCATTTCATGGTAACAAAAGTAGTCATATGTCATCATCATCATGTAGCAGGTCCTTTACAGAACATCACTCTTATCACAGCCTGCCTGAAAGAAACTCAGTCTCTCGCCAGTTCTCTCGCCTCATGTAGTTTCATACTCAAGGAGTCACTTATATCCTGTGCCCATCTTCGTATCGGTCATATGTAGAGGTTCTAATAAAGCTAAAATAAGTAGTATTTGGCATGCTGCACTTATTCTGTATTTGATGCTTCTGTTGTAATATGCTATATCTGTGAGATTAACCATAAACTCCATGCGGAGACAATGTGTGAGGAGACATTGTACGAAAGTGCTGAACCCAAAAGCTGTATGCATGTTTATTCTGATAATTTGATGGCCTGGTTAATAAGGTTGAAAATATGGAATACAAAGAAGTAAAAGATGCATTTCTACATCTTGAAGCACATCAGATTTTTGAGACAATCTTCAAGCAAGCTGACACGTTAAAGTACTTGAGTACCCTGCAGATGGAAGTGTTATTAAAGAAGTTAAATCAAGCAAAAGCAGCATTTTACAATGAAGAATATTCAGTGTAATCTTTCTTTGTCAGTTGAGATAAAAAGAGCTGCAAAAAATCCTACACTGATATATTGAAGTGAATCATGGATGATTAGTAAAAATCATTTGGAACCAACAGAGATGTGGTTTTATAGACGAAAAATGAGAATACCATGGACAGATACAAAAGGAGTAATGAAGATGTCTTGAAAGAAGCTGACTCACAAAGAGCAGTGATTGCTGACATCAGAAGGAGACATTCTGCATTCTTTGATCATATCATGAAAAGGAGAAAACTGGAGTAAATTGTGATATTGGGAAAGTTGGAGATGAAAAGAGGGAGAGAGAGACCAGGAGAAAAAAATGCTGGACGGTTTGACATCATAGCACGGAAGATCATCTTTGTTAGAATTAATAGACAGGACACGAGACAGAAGGTTGTTGATAGACTTGACTACTAATACCACACAGCATGGACTATAAGAAGAAGAGGCACATGAGGTTTGTGTTACTGCCCCCATGTTTTCCTAGACCGCCTACGCTTGAAAGATGATAGGGCCACAATCATTTCAACCACCTTTATTCCTGTACTCTTGCAGAGTGGTTCCAGATATGATCTACAAGTCTTTACCTATGTCTAATATGATTGGTTTTTTTCAACAACAACAACAACAACAACAAAAAAAAAAAAAAACACTAACTCCATTCCCCCCAGGATGCAGAAGAAAGTGAGATTAAGGTTCAGGTTTGTGTGTATGCCTTTGACCTGCTCTACTTCAATGGTGAATCACTTGTTGACCAGCCATTCAGGAGGAGGAGGGAACTCTTGCACTCTTCATTTGAGGAGGTGGAGGGAGAGTTCATGTTTGCCAAGTCTATGATCTCTTCAAATACTGAAGAAATTGAAGTATTTTTGGATGAATCTATAAAAGGTAATAACAGAACGTCTTGTAACTTGTCTGATAGATTAAAGATGTTATTCTTCTACTGGTCTTTATCCCCACAGTCTTGCACGTGTCTCAGTCAACTGATACCAAGTCTTCCTGTTATTCACTGTAATGTGCAGCTCACTCCATGTTACGCGTGAAGATATCTCTTCCTTCTTTTCCTCCCAAACTCAGTCTGAGTTGAAAAGACTGATTTTTATTGAACTGTGCTTTATGACATATAGCTCAGTCTGTCTTTACATACCGGCTAGGCGCCTGCCAAGAGTGGCGCACAAAGCACAAACTCCATAGCTCCAGCATCGATTCCCATTCACACTTCCGGTTAAAATGGACGCTAGACAGCGGCGCTGTGTCGGAGCGGAGGCAAATTTTTTGCTTCTGCCGGACGGTGGCCGAAGTATTTTTGCTCCATTTGTAGACTGGATATAGTTTCGTCGCCCAGCTTCTGAGTTGAATGCATGGCGTGAACCTGTGAGCTGCGGATTGCATTTGGAATGTTTTTTCGACTGTGACCAACGTGGTGTGAATTGTAGATTCAGAAAATGGCGCGATGCCGGTCGTCAATGTTGGCGGTGCCCGTGTATGATTACAATTGATCGCGTGGGAAACTGCTGATCTGTTGGCGACAAGTTCTGCTATCATCAATGATGAACTGCATTTCTAATGTTGGACTGTTTGTGTTAGCACTTCGGATGGCTACCATATGCTTTAATGCGAGTGTATGCTAGATATGCTGAGACAGCAGTCTGTCAATCTTTCCACAAGGGACTGTGATAAACATTCTGGGTGTTTTTCGCTGGCACAGGAGCAGAGCAAAGATGGGGCGACCCGTTTGCTATGAAGCTGAAACTAAGACTACCAGACTACCAGATCGATTCCCAAGGGTATCCATTAAAATTGAACTCATGAACTGAACAATGCATCTCTGAAGTTACCTGCAGTGTTTGGAAAATGGGCTTGACCACTTCACAAGGGAGACCTCCGGCCTCCTATTTATAAGCATGTTTACTATAAGCCGTTTTTAGCCCTTTATAGAATTCTTTTGAGAATTTACTCACATTCACATAAATGGCAGTCTTTAACTGAAAGTTTCTACATCTAAGCCAGTGATCTGCAACCTTTTTCAGGATGGACCCCCCCCCCCCCCCCCTCAGTACATGGCAAGACCCCTTCACCTCCCTTGAGTATATTGAAATACCCCCACCGGAGTGTCGCCCCCCCCCCCCCCCCCCCCCGCACACACACACAACAAAAGGTGTTTATTTAGAAAGAGGCCAGTATTTTTTGTAACAATGGAAACAGAAAGTATGTAAATACATTTTGGTCAGAATGTGTTCTTAATCTATAATTAAATGCGAGTCTTATCATATTCATTACATTTTTCAATGTTAGATGTACAAACTGCTCATGAAAACAAAAATGTCCTTGTCATTTTGTTTCATAGATAATGTAGAAAATGTTATTTATAATTAAGATAAAACAAAATGTTAGTATAACGGATTATTACAAGTACAAATGTACTTTCACAATGCCTGACACCCCTCCTCCTCTTCCCTTCCACTCTAAACCTCCTTGCAACCCCTTAGCTCATAATGAAAGGTTAGAGACCACTGGTCCAGTCAATGACAACTTGGTGGTGGATGATGTTCACTGTTGCTTTCAGGTGGAATTTGAGACATAACTGGTGTTTGCAGTTTGCTCTGAATGTTCATTTACTTTTATGTATCATTCCCTGTAGAACTGTCAGCCAAGATTAATTGCTGTAGATTTTTGACTTTGCTCTTGGTCCTACTCTAATTCCAACAGCATTTTTGTTTGTGCAGATTCTAGGTAAGGTAGTTGACCCATGTTACTGTCTGTAGGTTTTTTCCAGGTAGTGTTAAGGTTAATAGGTGCTGGAACATAACATATGCTGATCCATTGGCATGCTGTAATTTGTTCTGTTTAAGTTGTTCTTTTCTTCTCTATCATTGAGTTTTACTGTTGCAGGAAATTGTGAAGGTCTGATGGTGAAGACACTGGATGTTGATGCTACATATGAAATAGCAAAACGCTCACATAAATGGCTCAAGGTTAGACATGTCTATGTTGTTTATAGTTATGCGTGCCTACCTGGCAGATTCATGTAAAGATGGATTTATCAGCGACTAGGGTTTGCTGAAAACAAACCCGTATTTAAGTGCATTAAAAAAAATTATAACTAATCAGGAAGCATAACATACTGACTGCCAGTGTGGTCTAGGGAAATGTAGGATTAGAACCTTGCCGATGTGATATATACAAATATGGAATTATTGCAATGTTCCCCGTGTACCTCTGCATGAAAAGGGGACATTTAGTTTTAAACTTACTTTCTCACTGTTTCTGTCACCTCTTTATCTCGATCCTTTTTGGCCTCTCCCTTCCCTTCTCAGCATCCCTCCCCCTTCCCCAGTAGATTTATTTTTCAAATATTTTAATTTTATCTCAGTACTAAACCTTGACTGAATTTTTTTAAAACACAAAATATTAATATAGTCTTTAAAAATAAGTATTTTTGTCACTCTATTATCATTATATAATTATTTCTTTTATGTTTTCCCCCTACATAAATGAAATAACTTGTCCTTTTTGAGAAGTTTTGTGTTCGCTCAAACTGTTACATACATCATAGTTTATATGCATGTTTTGAGTGTAATTGCTTTCAGTTTTGCAAGAGGAAATAGTTTTAAAGTATACTGCATGTTATTTTGCTCTTCACAATATCAGTCAACTATAATCATTACTTTCACTACCAATATTGCGGCAACTATCACTGTTACTGCCGCCACAACCATAACTACCACCAAAATCATTACTGTTACCACTATCATTACTTCCACTGTTGCCCTTGTTGCCAGTTACTATTACTATCACCATCATCATTACTGTCACTACCACCATTACTTCTAGTGATGTCCTTATTGCCACTTACCATTACTACCACCACCATAATTACTGTCACTACAACCATTACTTCCACTAGTATCCTTATTGCCACTTACCATTACTAACACCATCATCATTACATCCACTAACACCATCATTAATACCATTACTGTGACTTTTTTGACCAAGTTGTCATTCTGTTTTGATTACACACATTGTTAGAATGAGATACAGGTTTCTTTTGCTGGGTCTTATTAGTTTGTCTTAGTGTGGGTTGTGTTTTCTGGGGCTTTCCAGCTGATGAGAGCTGTCCCAGACAAAGTATGGCTTGGGTATATCTATCTAGCTATTGGTTTTATATGTCGAGCTATTGGGTTTGGCTTCATGACACCTACCCACCCAGCCCCTAAACTAGCATGTTGTAAAACTGAAAAAGTATGTTTCCCTTCAGGTCAGAGTTGATCTATCTAAGAGTGAAGAACCAACAGTTGGCATACAGACAAGCCAGATCTGTTAAATGAATGTATACACAAAACTAAAATTCTGGAACAGGACCAATGTCCAGAATTGGATCATCAACCAGAACTTTCTGCCAAAGTTCACAGCTGGTGAATGCTGAAGAAGATATTAGTTTGATTATTATCTGGAGTCTGTATTTTCCCATGTGTTGTCTGTTCTGCAGCTCAAGAAGGACTACCTGGAAGGTGTAGGGGACACACTGGATGTTGTGGTGATAGGTGGATACCTGGGTACTGGCAAGAGAACTGGCAAATATGGAGGTTTTTTGCTTGCTTGTTACGATGACACGAATGAAGAATTCCAGTCAATTTGTAAAGTAAGACTGCTGATAGAATTAGCTTCTCTAGGTTATTCTTAACTTGTGTGTAATGAGTCTTTTATATATTGTTATACCCTTGATATCCCAATGAAGTAAAGCTGTCATTGTTTATTCCCTTAGTAAACTTTATTCCTGATGGACTGGAAACACACTGTGAAGGAGGGAGATAACTACGTAAAGTGATGGATATATTTGGGTGTTTCAAATTAAAAAATAAAACAAAAATGAGTTGAAAGGGGGGGGGGGGATTTGTCTAATCCCTGTTCTCTTTCCAGGTCAGTATCTGCAAGTTACTGATTACTCTTAAAACCCCTATACCATTCTTAAAAAGACTCTAGTTTGCTGTGCATTATTTTTAAAGTGTCATAAATTGTGCATGCAGGTTTGTGTTACATTTGGCCCCTTTCAGCCACTCATCTTTTAAACAGAAATTATATTTGATCTTAAAGCATGTTAAGTACATATAGCAGAATACAAAATAGGAATATTAAGAACAGATATAAAAGCACTGATGACATACGCATACATTCATATGTTCATAAATACATAATACGGCATACATTCTCCTTGACATTTTAATACATAAATATTCTTCTTCTCAATAACCAGACCAAAACTGTCTCAACTCTCTTCTCTCTTTCCACAAAGCTAGAACAAGTTGATCTGTACCTAGAAGACAAAATCCTTCCAAAAGTGGAGTAGAATTTGACAAAAGGCTAACCTGGGCTCCCAAATTGAAGTCACCCAAAGGAAAGCTACCCTGCGGCTCTGGAAAAAGCGGGGGTGCAGATGCAAACACTACGACCAAAACTAGAGTACGGCATGGGAGCATACTCCACTGCAGTCAAATCAAACCTACACAAACTGGACAAAATACAGAACACTGGTTTCAGAATCATCACTTGAGGTATGAGAAGCACACCATTCCATGAGCTGAAGGCAACTTCTGGCCTTCAGAGCTTGAGCCTTCGAAGGGAATACAAGGTGCTTACCCTTACAGAAAAGTTTTAACGCATGAACAACAACCCTATGCACAGAATTGCAAACAACTTAACTAAAACACCGACTGAAAGGACAAAGCTTTCACCATCTATCCAAATTGTACTCTGCTAAAAACAGTGACATTTTTTCTAAAAACCTTTCAATGTGGGAAATGATCCAGGCATACAGCATAGACCTACAGCCTAACTATACTGCCACAACAACAATTCCAGGCATAGACAGAAAGGCTGAAGAATGTAACCTAGTACTGCTTGCAAAGACCCTTGAACATGTCTACAACTCTTATCCAAAACCTGAATGGACACACATATAGACTGATGGATCACTGGATGGAGCAGAAAAAAACAGAGAAGCTGGATCGGTCATCATGCTGCAAGATGGAACCACAGTAGAAATGTCATGCGCCTCCAGAAGACTCTCAACAAACTTCAGAGCAGCAAGCAATTATTGATTCAGCCAAAGTGCTTAAGGAACCAAAAAAAAAATTACAAATAGCAAAATTGTTTTTGTGTGTGTGAGGCGACTCAGAGTATTCCCCGAGGCAACATGGAGAGAGAACTAACCAGCCAGCTAAACAGACTTGCAGAAAACAATCAGATCGTTCCCCAGTGGATCCCAGCTCCCTGCGGCATACCAGAAATGAGTTAGCAGAGAGACTTGCAAAAAAAATGGAACAAAGGAGAAACAACACCCATTCATTGTCATTACCAGAAATTAGAACAATATACAAGGAATTATGAAGAGAACAAACAGTAAATATCCACAAGACCCCAAAGATCCTGTCAAACAAGACCACAAACACCTGAGCACATTCTGCCGACCTGCCCCCTCTGCCTACAGCTTCGAAAAGACACCTGCCCTCAAGAGCAAATTGTGCAGAGCACACTATTGGGAACCATGAAGGCATAAACATAAAAGGCAACCCAACTTGTGGTCTCATCTGAGCATACAAAACTGAATGCAAAGAAGAAGAAGAAGCTGTTCTTCTTAAAGTCCATGCTGTGTGGCGTTGGTAGTCATGTCAATCCACACAACTTCTGTCTCATGTCTCTGTTTCTTTCAAGATGTCTTCAAAACTCCTTTTATCTGTCCTGGGTATTCTTATCATTCATCTATAAAACCACATCTTTGCAGCTTCCAAATAAGTTTTCACCAATTTACTAACCGTCCATGATTCACATCCGTCTGTCAAAACAACATGGAGACGAATGATGGAAAATGACCTGAGTGGGGCATCTTTGGCATGGAAAACTGCACTGAAGATTGCACAGGACAGGAAAGCATGGAAAGTCCTCTCTGAAGCCTCATGTGCCACTAGGCATAACGAGAACTGATGATAATGATGTCAATATAGAATTTATAGAATATTGCTCAGAACAATGTAAACTGGGAAATTGGTATTGTTCAGATGACAAGTAATCTCTGGAAGTTCTGCCAAAGTAATAGTTTCATCAGTTTATTCACATTGTTAAATTTGTTAGACCACAGTTTAAAAGTGCAAGCAAAATCGGCCTTGATGTTAGCTCTAGAGATATTTTAGTTGGTAAGTCAATTTTATCTAAAAGTGCCTATAAGTAAGAAGAAGGAAAGACACTTTAGTGACATTATGATAAAAAGGAACTCTTATCTTGGTATGTCTTTCACAAAAATGTGTTTTAAGATGATTTTATATCTAGAGCTGCCTCTCGCCTTTAGCTGTGATATATTCTCCTGGTTGACACCCGCATTAGTGTAAAATTCTGTAATATTTTATGATTGTTTTAAAGCTATGTATACATGAATATAAGCAGTTTTGTTTGCTGTTTTAGATTGGTACTGGCTTCACTGATGAAGATCTGGAAACACACTTCAACTTCTTCAGGGATCATGTGATAGACAAGCCCAAGCCATACTTTGTTTGGGACAGCTCACATCAGCCAGACCACTGGTTTGAACCAGTTCAGGTGTGGGAGATCAAAGCTGCTGACCTGTCAATCTCACCTACTCACAAGGCTGCCATGGGACTGGTGTGTTCAGTATTTTCCTCAATTCATTATACTAGTATCTCTTGTTTTTCTTGTAAACTATGTTTCCATGACTTCCATGTGTATTCTTCTTATGTATAGATTTTTAAAAGCAGGATTTGAGATACAGGAATAGCAAGAACGGCCAGACAAAACCAGAAAATCTAGTGGAAGACGAGGTGAAGACCAAGGAAGAGATGGAAATGTAGCCGAATCCTGCAAAAAAAAAAAAACACACACACATCAATGTATCACTAAGGCTAATTAAGAAGCATAAGACAAATACATAAAACCAAAACACTGGGCTACAACCCTGTATTATTGTGAGGACAAAAGACAGACCATGTTGGTTTCCAAAGTGGTACAGCTACAAGGGAAAGTCATTAAATAAAGGCCCAAACTAAATTATTCCTGAATCCTCAATAATTACAAACAGCATCACTTTGTTAAAAAAAAAAAAAGCAATGTATTACATGCAAACATTATACTGAAGAAACATTTTTGAATTAAAAAAAAACAAGGAAAGTAAACGGTCTGCAAAAAATATAAATAAAACAAAACAAAACATGTTCAGTAAAAATAATCTGAGTTTAAAAAAAAAAATGTATTCTGTGTCCTATTTTTGGATATAAACTGCCTGGCTTTCAACCTGAGTAAACCCAGACCCTCACATTTGGATGCCCGCTGGTTGGAGCTTTTCGATGTAGCCGGTATCCCCCTTCAATGGCTGTCTTTTTATTCTGTCTCTGTAGGATCTCCATATTTGTTTGTTTTTGGTTTCCATGAAATAGGACCTGATCTTCTGTGTGTCCACATGTCTAGGGTCTCACCCGTACTTTCTACTTGTATGTTGATTATCAAGGTTTCTGGACCACACTTTCCTATCTGTCCTCAGTTTGCAAACATCTCATGTATTGATCACAATGTGTTAACTGATACAGTAAAGTGTAACAATGACCTCACCTACCACTGATGACATCAAGTGTAACAATGACCTCACATACCACTGATCACATCATGTGTAACAATGACCTCACCTACCACTGATGACATCATGTGTAATAATGACCTCACCTACCACTGATAACATCATGTGTAATAATGACCTCACCTACCACTGATGACATCAAGTGTCATGTGTTGTAGGGGTGTGCCTGGCAAGGATTTTTTCATGTCTGATTCTAAACTGATGTATTCCCCAGATTGACAGTCAGAAAGGGATTTCACTGAGGTTTCCACGTTTTCAGAGGATCAGAGATGACAAAAAACCTGAGGATGCTACCACCGCTTCTCAGGTTAGTAATATCTCAAAGGTATTAGACAAATCTGAGGTATTGAAAGAGCAGAAATTACAGCAGTTTTTTCAGTGCTCAGTCTATGAAGGCTCAGGTGGCTGTGTCACATCTGGAGCATGGAGGATGGCAGATTCCCTAAGGACATCCTCTATGGCGACTTCAAGATGGATAGAAGTCAAGGCTGACCTCTACTACAATATAAAGATGTGTGCAAATGGGACATGAATCATACTGGTATTGAGGTAGACTCGTAGGAACAAAATGCCATGGATTGTGTGGAGGGAGCACATCAGGAAGGGAATAAAAATGAAGGAAGAAATGATTGCCAAAAAAAAAAAAAATGAGACCTGAGCATGTGAGAAGACATGCAATTGTTGACAACGATCCTGTAATCTTAGGCTATAATTATAGAAGACTTTGCTTAATGTGGGCGGATCTTGCTAGTCACACTTGCCATCGCCATGGGCTGTGAGTTCCATGCCTCTGTTTCTTAGACAAGAAAATATTGGGCAAGAATAAAGCAGGCATGTGAGAAATCTGTCCCAATTAGTTGTTTGATACATTCACCAACTTTGTCTGTTCCTTTTTTGACAGCTGTTTCCCTCAGAGTTGTCAGTTTTACTCACTTTATTTCTATTGTTACTTCCTGTAAACCAAATCTCCAACACAGTTGTGGATTTAAGCCACTTTATGTCTATTACTTTTGTAAACACCTCATCTTCCTGCATATCTTAATTTAGCCTACTTTATCTTAGTTGTTACTCTTGGGGGCGGCTGGCTGAGTGGTTACAACATCAGGCTATCATGCGGGAGACCTGGCTTAGACCCATGGTAAGGTGACAGATTTGATTTCAGAGGCAAAATCCACATGGTGATAGATTTTGAACAGTTTACTAGGCTCCTAGGTTTGCCCAGCCTAGGAAGAGAAGATGGCTGCCACGATGTTTACCATATTATCAATCACTTAGTCTAAACAATGCGGGGTTAGCACCATGTGTGGATTGGAAAGGAAACAGTCTCCGTGTGGGTTCTTGGGTTCCATTGTGGTGAAAACAAGAATAGACCCACTGCCTCCCTAAGCATGTTCTTACAGTAGACTGATTGGGGGTCTTTTCTTTTGAAGTCGGAGGACCGCTGTCTAAGAGGCAAGAAACCAACAGTCTGCATAGAAATAAACCAGATCGGTAAAACAGATGTACAGGCAACACTGAGCTTGTGGAACAAGACTACCAAGTGCAGAAGTGGACAAACAGCCAGAACCTTCTGCTAGAGTTCACTGCTGGTGAAAGTGAAGAAGAAGAAATACTAAAGTGATGAATGTTTCTAAATATTTGATAAACTAATTGAACTTTTGAATTGAGCAGAGTGGATAATAAATAGTATTTTCTAAATCTATCTATAGATTGTGAGTGTTATTGTTATGTTATATAACATGTGGTGTCATGGAATTATTTACATCTACCAGTAGATTGTGAATCTATTATAATATATATATGATGTTTCATAACCAACAGAATTGTGTACAGTGGCAAATATTCTCTAATATTGATTATGTTTATAACACACTTCCCTACATCTGCCAGCAGACTGTAAGTTCTCTAACATTTATAATGTTTTATAACAGACAAAATTCCCTTTATTTGATTATAAATGTTCTTTAATATGTGTGTTGTTTTATATAACAAACAGGTTGCAGCGATGTACAAAAGTCAGAGTCAGATTCAGAACCAGAGCAAAAATGATAAGACAGAAGAGGATGATGAATTCTATTGATTCACAAGAGAAAAGATGGTTGCTGACCCAGGAACAGCCAAGAAGAATATCCCACAGAGTGCCACCTGCTATCCACCTAATCTTGTCCAGTCTAACATCTGTCGGCATTGTTTTTGTCACCAGATGGGTGTAGATGTAAAATGGTGATAAGACCAGTTGTATTATATGGCTCTGAAAGAAGCCTTTTAAAAATTTATACAAACAGCAGAGAATGGAGAGTGAGAAGCGACAGTGAAATTCATAATCTGTTTAAATCGCTATGGATCCCTGGTGCCATGAGGGCTGTTAGACTGAAATGGCTGGGACATATTGAGAGAATGTCAAATGACAGAGATGTAAAAACTGTACACAAAGGATTATGGAGTTTAATGGTCGTAGATCATGAGATAGACAAAAAAGATGGTGGAAGCAGACCTGTAAACACACCAGCTGTAAAGAGAAGACCAAGCAGAGAGATGAATGGAAGTGGGGGACGTCTGCAGCAGTGAACTGCCAGGGCTCAGAAAGTTGAAGAATAAGGAGAAGATAAGTTCCAGGTGTTGCCTGTCTACTACTGACGCCCAGGAAGGAAGCAAACAATAGCAACACTGAAAGAGGAAGGACTGTTATGTAACTGGGTGTGTCATCTCATGAGACCATCTACCTCATCCTGTAGAAAACTTCAGCTGCAGAATCCAAGCAATCCTTAACAACTCTGTACAGGAGTTTGTTGAAGGCCTCTGCTGCAGGCTTGATGAAACAGTCTGTTGTTTTATAATTGGGGGAAGTTTAGAGTAAAGATAAGTATCTGTATATTAGATGTTGAGATAGTTTATACAGAACCTGGAAAGTCAGGTGTATGCATTTATGTCGCTTCTTTGGTGTTGTCGGGAAATTAAAAGAGAATGTGAAATTAGTCAGTGTTAGAAGACGGTCGCAGTCATCCCTTATGAGGAATGTATCCTTGTAATCCCCACAATAGATTGATTGATTGATGTTTCACCCCACTAGGACATCACATTAAGTGATAAACACCAGGTGACACAAGGTGCCACCATAGGGCTTCGAAATAATGAAAAATTGCATCCCAAATGGGAACGGAGAGTAATGCTCACAATATGTATTCGTTTTTTTAATTGTTGCATTCATTTAGCTGTAACTTAGTTGATCTCATTACTATGTTTCATTAGATTTGATCGCGGAAACTTTAATGTTATAAATTTGTTTGCATAAGTTTATGTATATCAGCTATACCATCTGTAAAGTAATATCTCCCTAAACCTTGTAAGGGATGCAAACATAATGTTTTTACAAGCTTTTCGAGTCTTTATTGTTGTAATGTGCTCATCTAGGGGCATGTGTTGTTTACATTGCTTTCAGACGAACAGTGAGTTGAAACGACACAGCATGAACGAATATTGAGTTCTTTGCTTTTATTCGTTGAATCGCCAGTTATCGCAAACATACATTCATGCTTCCTCGTGCTCGACTTGCTTGGCTGAATCTAGCGACCTGGTCGGACTTCCCACACACTCAGGAATCTATCAGCGTCTCTCGAACCATCCATCTATACTTCATGGACTCTGATATCTGACATTACGACGTATGGAAAAACATTCAGTCCTCCTATTGAAATATAACGTTCACTTCACAAATCATTTATTCTTCTCAGGCGTTCATTCACGCGTCCTCTCTCAGTCAGGGCAGAACTTCAACTGTCTTACTTCAGTCTCTCGGTTCACGTCTTCCGTTCACGTCTCATGCTTTTCTTGTGTCTCTCACTTCGTTTACCATGAGACACACGAGACTCACTTCTCCCGTTTTTCTCTTCTCTCACGGGTCCTCCGACCTTTTTCTCCCCATCGGGAACTCTCTGGGGTTTCCCCGGGAATTCACAACATTACAATCTCCCCCTCCCTTCTAGTAAAAAAAAATTTAACCTTAAAATTTTTTTTTTCTA